GTCACTGATGTGCAGCCTTGCAAACTACATAAGGTCACTATGAACTGTCACTGGCTCTGGCAGGGGTTTCACTTGGTTTGGTTTGGATAGCTTAAATGGCCATTAAATGCTCATGGTATGGGAACGCGGAACCTGAACTCTATTCATGACTTCTATTTCAACCTAGCAGAAATAGACTCATTTAGAAGGTCCCTTTTATCAGAACTAAGGTGTGTCCACATACACATTCATCAGTGTGCATTATTTTATGCTACATTATGGTATGTTGTGTTGAAGAGTTCAGGAAAAGTAGAGATGGGAGCATCAAGAAGAAAAAAAGAGACCGTGAGAAAAAGCAGAAGCCAAAGCTTGCTTTGACTTCTGTATCAAGTTCATAGTCACTGCCATACAATCTGCAGCATATAAATACATCAAATTCACCTATGAATGTATTTAAGAAACACTGAAGACAAATGAAACCATATAATTCAGGGCTTTGCAGTACACAATAGCTTTCCAATCTCGCTTAAACAGGGAGAAACAAATGGCTGACACGAGACAATTATAATTTAACCTAGAAAGTCACTAATCTGCTTAGTAACACTGGAGTAAGGGAATGACAAAACTGTGAAGTAGCATCAGATTGTACCTACCCCAGATATTCCCAAACTGTTCCAGATTGTACCTACCCCAGGTATTCCCAAATTGTTCCCAAACTGTTCCAGATTGTACCTGCACCAGGTAGTCCCAAACTGTTCCATATTGTACCTACACCAGGTATTCCCAAACTGTTCCAGATTGTACCTACCCCAGGTATTCCCAAACTGTTCCCAAACTGTTACAGATTGTACCTGCACCAGGTATTCCCAAACTTTTCCAAAACTGTTCCAGATTGTACCTACACCAGGTATTCCCAAACTGTTCCAGATTGTACCTACACCAGGTAGTCCCAAACTGTTCTAGATTGTACCTGCACCAGGTATTCCCAAACTGTTCCAGATTGTACCTGCACCAGGTAGTCCCAAACTGTTCCAGATTGTACCTGCACCAGGTATTCCCAAACTGTTCCAGATTGTACCTGCACCAGGTATTCCCAAACTGTTCCACTGAAGGAAAGGACTGTCAGATGGTGTTCGAGTTGCTTCTTGGTTGCCCCTCCCAGGTTCCTAACTGCTTCTTTGTTTGTTCCAGGGCTTTTCAATATACTATACTTCTTCAAAATGCTTTCTTTAATGAAAACTTCCCTTATACAAGACAGGCTACATACCACTGACCTAGATTAACACACTATTTCTGGATGAGTCTAAACCAGAGTAAAGGTTTTCTGGCACCTCATGCAATGTAATCATAGTGTACCTTTCACTGACAAATATCTGCTTAGTAAAATTTTTCCATACAATATGTTTACATTTTTAAAAATTATTTTATTTCCTTAAATTCACCCTTTTTATTTTCCATGTTTGTTATTTTGTTAAAATACGGAAGTTGTTATCTAGAAAAATAAATTGTTAACCTTTCTCTGATTTGATTCTTGCTGGACCAGTCTGTCTTAGTGAAATCTGGGTTTCTTTTGCCATATTTTCTGGACTCTGGGGCAAGGCTCTGATGAAGAATTCTGCCACCGTCATCAGAAACTCCACACTGGCACACACATACAGCTTGTTGAGAACAGCATCAATTTGACTTCCATTTTTGTCCTGTTTGTAGCCTACATCAATCATACTGTTGTTATCTTGGTCATTCTTCTTGTCAATCATTCTGGGGAAAAAAATACATTCCATTCATTATTTTAAATTCCTGCTACAATAATTAACAAGATGAAAACTTCCCCACACACCTTAATCATCTTTCATTCACTTTCAGTTTCTAATCTCCACAGAAAAGCGGTCAGTGTGAACCAGGATCTAATCACCCAATTAGCAACCAAAACACGGTCTCCTGCTTTCCACAATTCAAGGATTGCATTACTAGGCAATCACTGAATATATTATAACACAATACTAGAAAAACAAACCATGACAACAGAAGTAAAGTTGGTCTACTTAACAAAACATATCAATGTGGTCCCACAAAATTTAGAAAACAGCCTCTTTATATATCGTAGCCACCTAAAAAAGGAGGGGGCAAAAAAGAAATAAGGAAAAGAAATGGATCATGGGTAAGGTGACCAGATTTTAACATTGGCAAAGCGGGACACCATTGATAAAATTCATAACCTGCCAAAATAGCCTCATGGCAGCCAAAAACCGTATATCCTAGCTTGTCGAACATTCTTCCCCCAAACTGGGACTTTTTAAAAACGCCATGAGACGCGGGAAAAATTGTTAAAAATCGTCTGGTCACCTTAGTCATGGGGAACAGATACCACTAACCCACCCAAGGGGAGGGTATTGTTTATATCTCCACAGAAAACAAAGGACCAGACTTCAACCTGGTGTTCCAAGATGTGAGTGCAACATGCCGGCATGAAGCAGGGAAACAGTAGAGAGGTCTGAGGAGCCAGCCCCAATCCCAACTATGTGGACAGCCCTCCATCCCCCAGAAGAATTTACGAGAGGAAAGCACCAAAGTTACAGCTCAGGGAGAGGAACATGTTTGATCAGAGCACACGGGAGCAAATGAAGGGGGAGGAAGAGAGAGTGGAGCACATCCTTGCCAAGCCTTGAGGACGATATCCTTGCTCAGAGCAGCCAATGCACAGAGAGGACCATATGGCTGGCCCCACTATGAGAACAGACATCCCTCACTGACCCATAGCCCTACAGGGGACAACACTGGAGACGCAGTGTGGGAATTGCACCAGATCTGACCCTACCACACTGAGGCAAAGCACTAAGGGCATGCAAAAGAACAGCAAGGGGAGCAGAGCAAGGAAGTCCTGAGGGAATAACAAAAATACTTTGGGGCCAGGGCATGGCACCCCATCAGACTCTACCAGAAAATACTCCTAAAGATCAACAAACAGACCTTAAACTATTTACAGGCTTTTCTCTTGTTTGTCATTGGTTTTTTGCTGTTGTTCTTTTGTTTTGCTCTGTCTTGTTTTTGTGCATGTTATTATCTCCACAAGTCTGTCTAGATAAGATAGGCTGGATAAACAATCTGGAGGAGAAAACAATGGGACAGAGAGTTGGGGGGCGGGTGCATGGGAGAGGGGGATGTGGGGGGAAAGGAAGTGGTGTTAACCAACCCAAGGACAAGGGAACAACAAGTGATCCAAAATCAGTGGCAAGAAGGATGTAAGAGGCCTGGTAGGGCATGATGAAGGGCAATGTAACCGAGAGGAATTACTGAAACCCAAATGAAGGCTGAGCATGATAGTGGGACAAGAGGAAAGTAAAAGGAAATAGAGGAAAGAAGTAGGAGGCAAAGAGCATTTATAGATGTCTAAATACAGGCATGTACATATTTAAATATATTTATATATGATGATGGGGAAATAGATCTATGTGCATATGTGTATAGATTTAGTATTAAGGTAGCAGATGAACATTGGGCCTCCACTCAAGTACTCCCTCAATGCAAGAACAGTTTGTTCTATTAAGCTGGCATTCCATGATGCCCACCTTCCTGACACGATCACTGAAGACAAAGTGGGTACATAAGCGAATGTGATAAAGAAAGCTGATGGTGCCTGGCCATCAAAAGATATAGCATCTGGGGTCTTAAAGGCTTGAAGGTAAACAAGTGGCCATCTAGCTCAAAAGCAAAAAAGCCCACATGGAAGAAGCACACCAGCCTGTGTGATCACGAGGTGTTGAAGGGATCAGGTATCAGGCATTAAAGAACAAAAATTCTTATCATTGTGAATAAGAGAGTGTGTGGAGTGGGGACCCAAAGCCCATTTGTAAGCAACTGGACATCCCTTTACAGAGGGTCACGGGGAGGAGAGGAACCAGTCTGGGTGCAGTGTAGCAATGATGAAACATACAACTTTCCTCTAAATTTTTTAATGCTTCCTCCCCCCCTACCATCATGATCCCAATTCTACCTTACAGATCTGGTTAGACCAGAGGATGCACACTGGTACAGATAGGAACTGGAAACACAGGGAATCCAGAACAGATGAACCCCTAAGGACCAGTGGTGAGAGTGGTGATACCAGGAAGGTAGAGGGAAGGTGGGGTAGAAAGGGGAACCGATCATAAGGACCTACATATACCCCCCTCCCTGAGGGATGGACAACAAGAAAGTGAGTGAAGGGAGACGTCAGATAGTGTAAGACATGATAAAATAATAATAATTTATAAATCATTAAAGGTGCATGTGGGGAGGGAGGGGAAATAATGAGGAGCTGATACCAAAGGCTCAAGTAGAATGCAAATGTTTTGAGAATGATGATGGTAACAAATGTACAAATGTGCTTGACACAATGGATGTTTGTATGGACTGTGATGAGTTGTACGAGCCCCCAATAAAATGATTAAAAAAGAGAGAGAGAGATAATATCACTCTATAGGAAAAACACAGATACAATATGAAGTCAGAAAGCATTCAATGTGACTCAACTCAGCAAGGGTTTCTCAAGTGTCTACAATGACAGTTCTCACACAGCATCGCATCAGCTGGTAAGAGGAGGCTACCCAACAGAAGGTGGGTTTTCTCACCCCTGCCTGGGGCACTAGCCCAGACGGACAGAAAATCTGCAATCCAGCAGAGCTAGTTTCAGGAGAACACTCCTGCCCCATTTCTTTTTCATCTCCCAGAAAAACAAAAGACTCACAATTTTCCAGTTTGCATTCAATAGCGTTCAAGATTAAGTAGCAACATATTTTTTCTCCAAAAGACATCAAATTCAAAATATTATGACCCTCATTATTTGAAAAAGGAATAAAAAATTAGATTATTAAAATTACATATTTACCACTTTATATAGTAAGGTGATAAAATCTTTCAAAAATAGGTTCAGGATTGTATTAGTCTAGGTACTTAAGAGAAACAAATCCACAGCAACTCATGTATAAGAGAGCTTTATATGTAAAGAAAATGTGCATCACAAAAACATCCCAACCCAATGCTGCCCAAGCCCACAAGTCCAACATTAACCCATTAACCCAACACCAGTCCACAAAGTCCTCCACCTCGCAAAACAGAGGCAATGATGCCGACTGCAGGAGGAAAGCTGAGTCAGTGAACGAATAAGCATCTCAGCACTAGCAGGGGTCTCCACACGGCTGCTCCAGCATCCAGGGCTGCATCAGGCTTCATAACCTTATGCGTATGTGGTGAAGTGATAGTGTATGGCTCTTCTATTTACAGTCTTGGTAACTCCCAGCAAATGACTGAGTGGGCACAAGCAAATAAGGTGTCAAGGACTCTACAGCTGTGACTGAACAGTTGAAGTCATTCTGCTTGCTGGGGATAAAGTGAGACATCTAAAAAGCAGGTACAGAAAATCTCCTGACCTTCAAGAATGAAGAACCATGAGAGCAGAGCACATCCCAAACCCCTGCAAGTAGAAGCAGCAGCAGCAGCAGCAGCAGGAAAAGACAGAAATGTGGGCTTCTTAGCCCACAGAAAGAGAAAAGCTGAGTGTATTTTCAGGCAAGAAGCTAGCTCACAGAGTGGGGTACTCTTTGGGCAAATATCAGCACTAAAGGGGCTTTATAACAGTTTCCCAAGGAGGGCAAAGTCCAAGGAGCAACGAGGTTGAGAGATCAAGGAATCCGACAAAGATAGGCCTGTTGGCATAGCTAGGAAAAGGCGCTATAGACAAAAGAACTGTAGTCCTAATGCCTCCTACTCAGGACTTGTTCTAATGTGTTAACTTCCCTAACGAACACTGGTAATTGTGAGTGCTGTCTGTGTGTGAGTTTTGTGTGGCAATGCAATGGATTATCAAATCCAGCAGATAAAGAGATTGCCATGAGAGAGAGATTTGGAGTCCGAATACAGTAAAACGGATGGCCTAGGGATGATTTAGAAGTACATATTATCAAGAAATTTAACTATTTAATCTTTATTTTTTTTACTTCCCCTTTTAAGACAGTACTCTATTTTAATATTAAACTTCCATTAACTTGAACTTCCATTTGTGATGCAATTCAAATCAAGAAGTAAGAGTGGAAAATCAAGACTTCTCTTGAAAATTCCAGCCTAGCAATGTCTGGTAGCAAAGCTAGGTGCTAAACAAATGAACAGCAAATTCAGACGCAACAAACCTTGATGTTGCTCTCTCAATGCCTTCTCTGAGATCATCAAGAGTGCATGTCTTAAGTTTAAGGCTGATGTTCATTGAACCATCTTTAAACATTTGTCCTGCTGAGGCCATAAGATGTAGTCTGAGTTCACCAATCCGTAAACGGTCATTATGGAACGAAAGCGTGGAACCCTGTGGAATGTGTTTCAAGAAAGAGTCAATATTATTTAAACTCTACTTGACTTCTTTTTACAAATATTTCTTAATTTACGTATTAGAGGCAAGCTAATTTCACACAATTTTAAAGTTTGTTTGTTAATGGAGCAGAGAAATAAGATGCATGTGTCTCTGTGCATATGGACAAATAAAAACATGTGGCACATGTATGCTGATATTCAATAATAGGTAATAGGCAAAACGGATCTGTTTTACACTTCTATGTAAGTAAAAGTAATAAAAAATAAGTTTTTTTTTCAATTAAGTAATCAACCTAATAAATATTTCAGGAGCTCTTCAGTACAAAACAATGTGATAGGCACTAAAGAGTGTATGAGAAAAGGTTAAGGCCTGGTAGGTCATCTCAGTCAGCTTGGACCTAATTGAAGAGAAAAAAGAAATATCTTAAAAGTACATCATAAAGTGGTGTCATCAAATACTGTGTGATCAAATACTATGTGACATATCGTCATTACTTATTCTTATTTACATCCTTCTACCTTCCTGAAAGGGTCTTAAATGGTTAGCTCAGAAGCATACATAGTAAAATCTCAGAGAGGTCTAAGAGTTCTTTGAAAACTGAGGAAAATCTAGGGCTTCAAATTAGTCCTGCCTGGTTCAGCTATGGCCCACAAAGTGAAACCAAAATAAACCCGAATTTGTAAAATGTGCACTACTAAAGCAATCATCAGGATGGCAAAAATTACAGGTCAATCTCCTGCGGTAAACTTAATCTTCCTCTTAGCATGAGTTGTGTGTGGTGTATAGCAACCAAATCACTTGAGTAGTCATAAACCTAGCTGCCTTGCTCAGAGACTACAGGTGACGGTACCACTCTGAATGTGTGTGCACTCCAAAGTCCTGGCAAGAACTCAGCCTTCCACTTCACACTGGTGGAAGGGCTTACCATGGATTCAATAGAAACAAAAGCAATGTTGAGATATCATGGATAATCAGGAATTTGAAAATAAACTTGTAGAGCCCAAGCTTCTTAAGTAGAGAGACAGATAACAGAATTATATAAAATTTTAAACCAAGAGTCCTAATTTTATATACAGCAATGTGCCACGTAACATCCACTCAGGCAATGTCTAACTGCATGTTTATAATGCACATCAAAACACTTACTATTACTGTGTTATATTAAAAATGTTTTAATGTATCTGGAAGTGTTCAATGCTTTCTTATATTTAGAACAATACAATCTATAGTAAGATAAACATTTAACTAAGAGACTAATCACATGTATTTAAACTATTCTGACTTACATACAAATTTAATTTAAAAATAAGCAGGAATAGAATGCATTCATTATCCAGGGACTGCCTATACGTAATATAGTGTTAGCACAACATCCAAATCACATAACATCCTATTCTATAGAACACATTGTCAACATTAAGCAATATAAGTATACATATTAGTTTTGTAACAAATAGTCCTATCAAAAAAATGGTATTATAAAACTGAATAATTAAGATCAAGCACTAAGGAATTATTCTAACTAAACAGATTTACTACATACCTGGCTGATATCATTATTATAAAGGATGATGGAAAGGGATTCAAAGTGAAAGTCAAATTGCAGAGTGACGCTGTGTTCCACAGGCATCTTTGAGTGTGTCAAATCTTGTTCTGATGGTTCAAACACGAATGTGATCATTAAAATGGTTTTCAGTAGACATATAGCTCTCTGGACATCCAAGAGGCTGAGATAACAACTTCTTAGTCTAAGTTTATTATCATGCTGTCTGTTGTTAGGTGCCATTGAGCACATTCTGACTCCCAGCCTCGCTCTGCAGAACCCAGTAAAACACCGCCCGGTCCAGCACCATTCCCACAATTGAGCCCACACTGTCAGACTGCCTAGGATTCTCTAAGTCCTATTCTTCAGATTCTATTATGAGACAACTGACAAGAACAGAAATGGTCTATTCCACATATATTTAGCACAGGGGAAAGTGGCAGAGGTAGACAATCTATATATAAAAAATACAATAAAAAAGGAGGAGGTCTTGCATATTATCAAGACAGCATTGAAAAAAGAAACCACTCATAAGGAAGACGACAGAGAGTAATGTACATTTATCAAATATAATTGAATATAATTGAAGACACAGCATCCTTGTAAGATTATAAAACTGGAGCGCAGACATCTGGTCAGTAACAGATCGTCTATTATCCTAACGTAACTTCTCACTGTCTTGCGTCCTTCTGTCCCTCAACCACTACCTTTACCAGAAGAACAGAATACAGCGCGATGGCAGAGTCATGCAGAGCTCAAACAGAAACTGAAGGGCAGCTTTGGAGTTTTGGGGAAAGGAGATTTCAAGAAGTCATTTCCCTCACCAGTTATCGGAAATTTTGTGAACATGTAAGAATTACTTTTCTTTCCATGCCTCTTTTAAAAAGCGATTAATTGTGGGGGGCTGGCCTTCCCCCACACTGGGTTTCAACAGCCAACATTCAGTTAGTCGCTTAACCAACTGCACCACCAGGACTCCTTATTTACATTCTTCTCCATAACTGAAGGACTTCATTGATTTTTACCTTTGAGGAGGTCAGATCCGCTTGGAACATCTTTTCTCACTCTTAGAACCTCCTGAGTAGATTGTGTAGGGCTTGGCTGTGAAGAAGCTTCTCCAAGATTCTCCAGCAAAATTTTCATTAAAACTGCTAAGTCATCCTCACTGAGAGCAATCTAGAAATCATCATCACTTTGTTAATGTAACATAGAAAAAATGCAGAATATGATGTCCTAATTTATGGCTCCTCAAATTAACTGTTCATCTAGTAAAAAAGGAGACCATAAATACCACATTTCATCTTTTATAGGATGAGGCATGCCTTTGGCATAAACATGCTTCTGCCTCCACTCACATCCTAGTCCCTGCACCTGTCATTCGAACACTCTCCCCTCCTTAGCGGTTACTCTCTCTGTTCTTAGCCCGATGCCTCACTCCATCTCATCTCCATTCTACTTCACCAGCTACCTCACCAGCTACCTCACTACCTCACCAGCTCTTTCTGCGCATCATTTGCATCCCACTAAACTCAATAAAACTCAATACAAGAAGAGTGCTATTTGTTTGTGATCATCACGAAGAAAGAAAAAGATGCTTTCAGAATCGGTAGGTCTTCTTTCTCAGTACAAATACATTTGATTGACACTAAACCTTGCTTAATCTACCAAGAGTAATGTCTTTCTGAACAGTAACAGCTACACAGACTTTTTTAAAAACTGAAACACACTCGGGGATGGCAGAATCTTGTTCATCTCCTACCTTTATAAAAGAGATAAATGGGAGGGGTGGGGAAGAGTCTGGCAGCTCAGCTTCAGGTCCAACACTTTGTCAGTGTACTAGTGGTGCAGTCTCGCAGCCGCCCTAGCAAACGCCCCCTAGTCTGCACCAGGACAGGCTTTTCTCAGACCTGTCTCCTGGATGCCTATGTGGCTTCGAGCTGCCAACCTCTTAGCCAATAGTCAAGTGTCTCATAATTTGTGCCATCCAATAACGACTGCCCTAAAACTTCAATCGCATTTTACAAAGGGAAGACTGATACTTGCAACAGACTGCAATATATTTTATCTCGCAGGTTTTGCTAGTTTGACAAATAGATGACTAAAATGATATTTTTAAAAGTACAGGAAAGGAGACCATCTCATTTCCAGTTAACAGAATACCCTCTTAATGTACCGCCACTTCTGATGTATATTATAGCTTCACTTTTAGGGAAAAAAAGTCTATCTAACAATTTTCATAAATCTCATACAGTACTTACCTGCATAGGTTTTAGTTTTCCTTTTATCTCCATCCCTGGAATTTGCACATACCATGATGCTGCTAAATTCCGTTGTATGCACAAAAGCATGTTGACTGGTTTTAAAATTTCAATGTCATATTGTGTCGAGTCAGCCTGCAAAACAGTTCTAAAAGAAAACAAGAACTTATTTTATATTTTTTACATTTTAAAATGAAGAAAATCTTATGCATTAAATTCTATATAGCACTTTGTTAAATACTGAAAGCTAGCAATGTCCTTTAAACCATCCTTCTTTTCACAAATCAATCTGAAGAAATAAATCATGTGTACTGGCAGAGGAATTTAAAACAAAGCCTCTGAAACACTGACTTCAAAGACACAAATGTCATAAATTAAAACTATTTCAGTTACTTTCTTAGAAGAGATTGTTTGATGTAGCAACTACTAGTACAATGTTATGCAAACAAGTGCTCCAGCTCTGAAACTGGAGAGAAAAGTGCAAGTCTACTTAGTCTTTGGTACGCTCTTGGCTTTCTCCAAACTTCAGGGGATAAACTCACCAAACCTAAAAGTTAAATAAGAATATGGTAATCATCTTATCTAGCTTGCCTGCCAACGATTATTTGGACTGGCAAATAATGTTAAGTGTGTATTTTTGCCATTCCAATGAGTCAATACAGTCGGACCCTCTAACTGAGATGACTTACTGAAAATTCCCAAATGCCATCACTTATAAAAAAAACAAATCTGACATTGCATTTTACGATGTTTCAGCCCATTGACCAAAAATAAAAGAAATAGATTGTGCATAGTTATAAAACAACTGAACTCAGCATTGTAAATTATAATTTTATTATATGGAACTTTTGTGAAATGGAAAAATCACACCATTAATTTTGATAAGATAAAATGCAGATACTATGAAATACACTACTTTCCAGTACTGGGTAAAAACCAATGTTCAAGGTTTCATAATAATTAGGAGAAATAAGGAATAGGAATCACGAATCACAAGAGAAGTTTACCCCTGATGAGAATTCTGTAAAGATTATGTCTTGACTTAAACAATACACAATTGGATTCTGTGTACATACCTGGACAGCTTCAACTGAGTGAGCTGTACGCTCATTTTATCTAGGACTGGGGGAAGTGAAGAACTTTCCACAGAGACCGAGCTAAATTTATTTTCGACCCTGATGAAGCCCAGGTCAGCTACCACAGCATTAGGTGATGTTGAAGACTGAGCAATGATAATAACCGGGGCTTTCAAGTTGATGTCCATCAAAAGGCGGAAACTCTTTTGAGCCAAGTCTTTCATGCCAGAAGCAGCTTTCTCGGCAGCCTGGGCTGTGGCTGCACTCAGCGCTTCTTTGGCAGTTTGGAAATTGTTGAGGAAGTTCTGTTGGAAGAGATTGATAAAAGAGTTTTCATAAAAAGCGGACTTATTTCTAGAAGGAAAAAAATGTTTAAAGCAAAGAATATAAAAGACATGCTATTCCTAATAAACTATGGCAAGAGTAAAGTCTAGAAAGAAACATTCTGAGCTATTAACAGCAGTTTGTTCTACAAAGGAAGACTCCTTTACCTTTTACTTTATAGGCGGCAGATTTGTTTGTTTCTAACATTTTTTCCAATCTCTTTGATTAGAGAATGATGGGCATTTTTAATGTAAATGAAAAGGATGGAGAAGAGTACTTTAATTCTCGCAGACCAGGTAAAATTTGTGATTTCCGTTTTTAAGAATAAAGTCTATTCTTGGAAACTAAGGATTTAGGCCTTATTTATGAAATTTCATGGTTTGTTTGTTTAACTGTTTGTCTTTCAATATATTCATGTTTGAGTACAGGCAGTTAAGTCCCCATGATCCTGAAATACTTGATAAAAGTCAAAACTTCTTTGTGTAGACTATGGTTACACTTCCACTAAACTTCAGCTAAAAACAGTAACATTTCCCCAGTGAAAACAGATTATTCTTAAAAGCAATATTTTGATGTCCCTGCATTAACAATGCAAGGCAACTTAATTCTCTTCCTCCCAAATATTACTTTCCAGAAAAGTGAAACATGACCATACTTTGGACACTTTGTTGAATGTGCCCAACTAATGAGAGGCACGGGCAGACAGGCAGATGCCCTTTAGCCTGCCATCAGAAATCACCGGGAACGCCTCCCTCCACCCCCCCCACCCCACCCCCCAGGACCTTGCTGATCAAGTTATAATCAAGGCTGTTCAAGTTACAATGTTAGTTCTTAACTGCCTGCTGTGCACCTTTTAAAAACTCTCTTAGCTACATACTCTTAAGGTTATTTCATTAAACAAATAACATTGAAAAGTTCTAAACTAACAAATATAGAAAGTGTTTTTAAAATGCAAAACCATTAAAAGAAAGTTAAAGGACAGTTTATAGGCACCAAACAATTTTTAAAATTCATTTGACCTATCTATCATATAGATTTTCCTTAAGTATAATACTCTGTTCAGCATTTGGATACTTATCCCATTAGCCCTATTAGTAACAGTGTTGTTATAAGATCAGATGTATACACAACAATATTTAGGACCCAATGATCAATAAAAAAAATTACAAAAAAAAAAATAAACTTACCAAAAGTGACATGAAGAATTTATGAACATAAATAATTTGAATACAACCCACTTTGAGACTCAGTTTGCCATCTACTTTAGACATGTCAGCATAGGCCTTTCCTTCTGTGGTGCCGGGATAGAGAGTCATTTGGAATCTAAAAACTTCATCTCCCAAAATAGAGACAGCCTGAAATTAGAAGTGGTTATCACAACAAAGGACCTGTACAACCTTTACCAGTGTATTATCGATATGGTCTTATCTTATGTTACAAAATCCTTGATATATGAAGAAGCAACATTTAAATTCAACAAGTGATTAATTAGAAAACATTTAATTAGCCAGCAACTGTCTCCTGTTCCAATTTTTAAAAAAAAGTTCTACCTATGGAAAATGGTAATTACTAAGTTGGCCAGAAATTGCTTTCACTGCGCACCAGGGCACCTAGTCTTATGTGCACTGTAAAAGCAAACTCTGACCATTTTCAGCTCCACTCCCTAACAAAGTTCTTAACATGAGACACAGAATCCATTTTATACTGAAAAAAATATATAGGCATCTCAAATCATAGGGAAAAAATTAAGCTCAATATACACACATGTTTTTAATCACCTTTTTATGAATGGAGAGTGAATCAACATTTGTTACTATGATATCCTTAAGCCTGGCAAACACATCAGTCTGCTTGGATGTTGTAGATACAGAGGCATCCATTCCTAAGGAAAACATAGTATTTACAAACTTTTCACTCAACCTAAGCAGAATTTAAGTTCAATAGTATTCTCCCAAGATAAAGGGTGAAAAAAATTATTCTCCACCAGACATATTATATGTATCAACTTCTACACAAGATGATGAAGCAAGACTGCAACACCTCCAAGTGCTACAAGCATCTTACACATAAAAGCTGTGACATTTTTATGACATAACCAAGCTTCAAAGAAAATTCATGATAGCTTCTCAAACACAAATATCCTATGCACTGATAAGATCTAAGAGGTCACTTATGAAAACACATAATGTTTATTAACTGGCATTTCACAAACATTTTATTATGTTTTGCCCTAGTAATAAAATGCATGCTTGTTTCTACAAAAACTGTACTGAGAACAATCTTCTAAGGTTTCTCTCTTTAAAAAAATCTGTCATTCACATAATTTCTATAGCACGATTTCTAAAATAACTCTTCCGGAGAGAAAGAATGGCTGCAGCAGAGCCCCAGTAAAGAGCCCAAACAATGACCATACCTTCCAAAGCAAATACTCTGTAATATTGTTTTAAAGAAGCTGATTATTTTTAACTTTCTTTAAACTGTTAACTATGGACAAAGCACTTTTCTAAACAAACTTAAGTATAAGGCTAAACTAGCCTTATGCATAGTAATTATCATCTCCATTTCTCAGAGGAAAGAACTAAGGCACAAATAGGCTAATTAATTTGCTCAAGGTCAGTCAGCAACTGTGAAAGTCTGAGTTTGAATCTCAGCAAGCTTGTTCCAGAAGTCATGGTACAATCTGAATCAATATACTATGCTGCCTTATTCTTACATCAAGCTGGTGATGAAGAAAGCTTATAAAACTTCTTTAAGAAATTCCTTTTCCTGATGCACAAAAGACAGAGAAATATAAGGATCTCAATGCTCAAGGCCATGAGGTTACTAGCAGGGTATGCATTTCTCAGTTTAAAGTATATTATTCTGGAAATGAGACAGAATAAGAAATTAAGCCTTACAATTATTCTCAAAATTTTCAAACGCATAAGGAACAACTCATGTCAGCACTGACTCATAACTAGTTTACCTCTAGCATTCAGGGCTCATCTTTGAGCCCTGGACAACTTCACTGTAAGCAGACGGTAGAACAGGTCAAAGGGTTTCCACCATGGACTGTCATGTCCTGGACGTACAAGATGCATATGTAAAGAATATATATGGCTACATCAAGGTGTAATTACTTACCCTGTATTCTAATATCTGCAATGTTACACTTCTGATCACACACAAAGATATTAAATGCATTGAGTTCAGCTATGATCCTTAGATCACACACATCACTTTGAGAAACGCTGCTGGACACTGGAAAGCAATGGAAACCTTGTGATCAGCAAAGAGCAGTGATGATGTAACACATACTCTCAAAATAACTCAAGTACAGAGGAGCCAAAAGGACTTCCAATACCACAATATGTAATCAATGTAAATGGGGAGTCAATTTTCAAATACAAATCAAAGGTAAACTTAGGGTGGCCCCTCTAAATTGGGAATAAAAGCCACTATTAATAGACTCTTAAAAGTACAATTCGCAAAAAAAGTTTGTTCAGAGAAAAAACTTTATATAATAATTCAACTAGTTAAAAAATCTTGATCCTCAAATCTTACTTACGTTATGTATGGGCAAAAGAATCCATAAAAATTAAAATAGTAATGAATAGTCAATAAAGGTTGTGTTATAGAACACATGTTATAGAGCTAACTTCTCCAGGCTATAGAGAATTCATTAAAAACATTTCCTAAGGAAGAAACATAAAAGGCTAAAGTTTAAAACTTATCAAAATGCACCAAAACAATAGGTATTTTATAATATGCTTGTGTGTGTTTGTGTGTGTATGCAAGCACGTGCAATGGCACAACTCCTGTGTGTGTTTATACATATATACAAATCACAATGGGATTAGCTTCCTTAATCTACTTTATTCCAGGTTCTGATTGATAATTAAGATACATCTTCCAAGATGTTGGCCTTGCTTGAGGGAACCAATCCTTTCCTCTAACACAGGGAAAGTATGGGGGCACTGATCCACAGACACAAAAAAGATGACAGATTATTTTCATCCTTAAACTTTAATGAAGCATTAATTAAGCCATAAAAACCAATTGAACAGCATAACGAGGACACTGTTTCTTTAGATTAATATTATTCTTAGTTTGTTGTAGAGTTTAAACATTCCATTTAATCATATTGTTTAGGTACCATATGGATAAATTATATGAGGAAAATACTTTTTTTTTCCAAAGCCAAGGATGAAAACATATTTCTAAGGCTACTAAGAAGGTTAATATAACAAATACATTAAAGACAAAAAAGGTAAAATTCTTTTACTCTATAAATTGTTGCTCTGTCCCAATGTTAACAGAGGGAAAAATCAGAACCCTGTGTCAGGTTTAATAATAATGATAGTTCTACATCATTTTGGGGGTAGCAGAAATATAAGTGTAATTCACATTGTTTATGGTCTGAAAATCAAATTACTGCATGTAAGATATTCCATCCTTCCCATGATTTAAAAGAAAAATAAATAAAATATTTGACAACAAAAATAGGTGCATGTTCTTCAATCACTCCAGATATTTAATATGTAATATTTTGTGACATAAGTCATATGTCTGAGGACTATATGCCCCAAATCTGTGTGCATACTAAATATAGTTTGGCCATGAAGCCACGATGAGTTTTTCCACCACGGGCTCTCTCCTCAGGACCCTCCAAAGCATGCAACCAAAGGGCTGAGTAGCAGCGAGTCTACTCAACTGCTTGCCATGGGCCTTTGTCACTAGATATGACTATACTCCGCTTTAAATTTATTCCTTTTTGACTTTCATTGAATTCAAGACTGCAAAGTATGAGTATACAGTTTTATTTTATGTAAAAGCTAAATGGTGATAGTAAATATATATGCATGATTAATAATAAACAATTCTTTGTTAAATGCTCTACTAAATTCCCCTATAAACCCATAGAGATAAAATTTACTTTCTTTTGAATCTAGCCTAATCGGTCTTAACTTCTGCCGCTATAAGTTCAAGTTATCAAATTTCTATATTAGCTTGAAAATGAAAGTTACTACGTGGTTATTAAAGCTCACACAGAAAATATAATAAAAAGACCCAAAAGTTAATACCAGCTTTAAGAGCAAGGCTCCTGGACTCCCCTACAAGTGGTTTCAGCTCGGATTCCTTCTCAGAGGAGGAAGGTTCAGCAGATGGAACAGCAGATGATAGAAAATCCATAATGGAGAGCAGAGCTTCCAGATGAAGTACTAAGTCTAAGGATGAAAATGAAACCTAAGATAATGAACAATTAGAGAAGCAGATTTCAGACATGATAATGTTTTGTGCTAAGCTCAACATATACAAGTAGCACATGAGTAGTTCAGATAAAGGTCTTTTGGGGCACCACCACCACCAAACAAGCAAGAGTTTACAATAGACTCTTTATCTTTACCGGCCAGCCCCATCCAGGGATGAGCCATACAGATATAAGGCTAATTCTAACCCTCACAGAGCTTGATGAGATTCATCAGGCTTTAAGCCATAGTTCAGATAGTTCCATGACAGATATATGTGCAAATAAACTATATCAAACCATGACTCAGCCTGTCCTGAATCTTATTCGTATTCTAATCCTGAAGCCGAGTTTAATTTTGCCTGCTTTCATCCACGCTGTGTCAAATAACCACAGTGCACTAAAGTGAAGACAATTCTCTTAAAAAGTGTGTTGCCTGTGGTGCAACAAGTCATCGGTCATTCACCTCTGGGAAACTAATCATTCTGAAGGGTTCAAATCAAAGAAGAGCTCATTTCAACTCTATATTTATTTCATGTACCTACTTTTAAATTAGACCTATTATCATAACTATCATTATTATATTTTTAGAACTCACGATCTCACAGCTGGAAACTGCTAAAGATACATTTAATCATTAACACAAACCACAACATAATGACATACGAAAGATTACCTTCAGTTTCTGTTTGGTATTGTTGTGAGTGGTTTTAAATTCTGGTCCATCACTGTCTGCCTAAAAATAGTAAAGAATTATAAAAATGCATTGCAAATGTTAAAATTCACATACTGAAAATAGTCCTGTTATTTATTTATAGACTATTTATAAAACTATAAACATATTTCTGGAAGGCAAATAAAAACATACTAAAGAAATTGACCTTACCTAAGTAATTTTCACATTCTACAAATATAAAAACTAAAATTCCATGTCCTACTGGGGAGGAAATCTAAAATATAAGGAAAAATGCTAACCTATCTAGGTTACAGTAACTCTGAGTTGAGATTACAACAGAATTTTGTCTGACTCCTCTTTATTCAACTCTAAAGAGTAACTCAAAAGGCCTGACAGTGCCCCAGCCTGTCAGATGCTGTCTTCATTCCTCATAGACACACAGCGCTAATTTGTTTTTAAATAAGGGGAAATACAGTATAAACTACGAAAGGGGAGAAATACACATCAAAGGAGCACTGGTGGTACTACGGCTAAGGACACGACTGCTCACCAACTGGTTGAAAGCGTGGCCATTTGCTTCCATAAAGACTGCAGACATGGAAACGCTACGGAGTAAGTAGTTCTCTACTCTCGTGCATCGGGCCACTCTGAGTCAGAAAGGTCTCAACAGGAAGGGGAATAGACACAACCCCATGCATTAGGATATTTTAAATCTTAGTGTTGGAAGTAGGTACCTTTGTCAGTAACATTTTCAGAAGGGGCTCATCAGTTACATTAGAAGAGTTAATAATATGGAGAGGCCCTCCATTCGCATCTGGAAGAGAAAGATACCGGTGAGCCATCAAGGCTTTTACACATGATAAATGTCTTAAGAAAGGGCAAGCCATCTAAACTAATGTATATATTTGTTAGCACTCATAAAACTCTACATTTAAAGAATGCATTTCACTATACGCAAAACATAACTCAATAAACCTTTGATGAAAGTAAATGCAAAAAACAAAAACATGAGCTAATTAAAACTGCTGTAACTTCTGCCACTACTGACATTACAAAGTATCATTAACATATAAAAGCTATACAATACAAACTAAAGAGTATACTCAATTTAAGTATGCTTTACCCAAAGAGATCCCAAAGACTTCCAATGCACTGTAAACACCCACAGTAACTTTAAAGATTGGCTTGATACAATTCAGAAAGTAAAGTTAAAAAGTTAATACTAGCCACGTAAACCAGGATATAATACTTGGGGAAAGAATGAGAGCATACAAACGGAGGCTACCTCTGTCTCTATACTGCACACGCTTCTACATCGCTCAAGTACCCCCAAAATGGAAAAGAGCTCCGCGGGCAGAGCTTACTTAGTACGTATTTTTCCTGCTAGGTGAGCATTGAGCAACTCCCTCTGAGTTAGTGCACTCACTGACGTGGGTCGCCTATAAAGGTTCTCTCTGGTCACAGTGAATTTTTTCATGAAAGCAGTTTCACTCAAATCTCATTTTTTTATTTCTGATTTAAGAGAACAGCATGTGGCTGTGAGATTTTTTTCCTGCTCAGGAAAAATGCCACAGAAACTGTTGTGCTGCTGAACACAGCTTACCAGGACAGCGCTATCAGAAAAATTCAAGTGTACAAGTGATTTACTCATTTCAAAAAAGGTAAAATGTCAATAAATGATAAACCTCGTTCTGAAAGTCCGTCAACTTCCTGAACAGATGAAAATGTCAAATGTTGATTCATAGTGCATTTGGAGTTCGTTCCACCAGGTCCAATTGTAAATCAAACCTTCTACTGGAGGTTCTGAAGAGATTATGTACCAGAGTGTGAGGCAAAAAAGGCCTGATTTGTGGCAGACAGGGCACTGGTTTTGCCACCACGACAATGCACCTGCTCACACAGCCATCTGGGTGCGCCAGTTTTTGACAAAAAACTGCATGCCTCTCTTGCCCCACACACCTTACTTACCTGTCCTTTCCCCATGTGAAGTCTTTTTGTTTCTGTGAATCGAGAGGGACATGAAAGGACAGCAATTTGATGACGTAGAAGAGGTGGAGAAAAGAAAACAAACGAGGGAGGTGCTGTCAGCAACCCACAGAGGAGTTTGAAAAATGTTTCCAAGAATGGAATCGCAGATTTGACAAATGCATTAAGCGTAACGGAGAGTACTTTGAAGGTGATAGGTTGTTTTATATTTTAAAAAATTAAATATAAAGCTTAGAAAAACAAAATCCGTTTTTGGGGGTACCCCTCTTATATATTCATTAAGTAAAAACACATACTTTAAAAATAAATAACAGGCAAAAAGTTTTACTTCTTAATAAAAAAAATTAACTCAATTTTTCAAAATGAATACCTGGGCTCTGCCCTTGAGTGTTCCTCTTATCTGCAAATTTCCTATACATCAGTTTTTATAGCACAGTTAAAGGAGATTTATGCTTTTTGATAAATATTGGATTGCTAGATGTTGACATTGTATATATGTGTTTCATTGTGTAGCTCTATTTGACGTCATTTTAATTAGAAATATCTACAGTAAAGCTGACCTAACTAAACATTTACAGTGACAGACACATCTGCCGTTGACGAACTGGCATCAACACTCAAACGCACTGCCATCAAGGCAACTGCAACTCACAGCAACCCCGTGGGGAGGTAGGGCCGCCGCTGGGGGTTCTGAGACTGCCTCAACTTCCTCCCTTTGGGGGCTGGTGGTTTCAGATTGCGGGCACTGGCAGTAAAGGCATAACCACGACACCACCAGGTCTCCTTGGAGCTGGCACCGAGTCTGCCATGTACTTACCAGTGAAATCAAAACAACGCATGGTGATTTTTTTAAGATAAGCTTTCGCAGTCATATCGAAGGTTTTAACTCGAGCTTCCATTCCAAGCTGCAGCACATTGAGTTCATGGAAAGGCCTTCCTTTCTTTTCTGCTTTTTTCATCAAAGTAAGGACAACCTAGAAAGAGTGCAGAATCACCACAAATCCCGCTAGCTAACATTCTCTCACTAATACACAAGAAGATAGCTGACATTCTCCTAGCCATCTAGTGTGCTGTAACCAAAGGCACACAATGTAAAGATGTTTGTAGACTCCTGTGTGTGCCTGCAAATGCGGGCAGGGGCTATTTACCTTGCAAGGCACTTTTACGTGTTTAGGTTTTTCAAGCATCACTATAATATTATAGTGGTTTTAAAAGGTAAAGTAAATAGAGAGGCCCAGCTTTCAAGACTACATCTTTCATAAATGGCCTTCTGTATGTAGGTCTGTGAGACAAACGGCCAATTTTATACTGATCCACAGGCCAGGCTTCTCAACCTTGGCACTATTGGTATTTTGGGCTGTATAACTCTTCATAGTGAGGGCTGCCAAGGGCATTGTAGAATGTTTAGCAGCACCCAAACCTCTACCTATCAGTTGCCAACAGTAACTCCTCACACGCAGGAAGATTAAAAATGTCTACCGATATGCCAAATACCCCTCAGATAGGGAAAAACTATTTCCCTCTATCTCCCTATCACTGTCCTACAGAAAAAATTAATTGATATAATGTGCTACAGGTTATATTAGAAAGGATTAAAAAAATTTTTAAAGAGAGGACTTATGGATTTTCCATGTGCATGGTTAGTTTAAAACATATTAATAAAAATGTTTAATGTTTCATAAATAAAGCTTAAAATTGTAATTCTGATATTAATCAAGAAAACAGTTTAAGATGGAAGCAATTTGTTTTAAAGCGTGTACTTCCATTTCTTAAAAGTAGAATCCATTTGTTTTAAACATTGTACTATTTTTAACTCAGAGAAAGACCATAATTTCTATATAACTATTCAATGAGGAACCTGACTGGGGGGAGGTTCCACGTTCTGTCAAACTTTCCCCATACTACATCTTCTGAGTTCTATCCTTGCTCCCACCTTATGCTAGCCTCTCCTGTGTCAGGTTTTCACTGAATCTGCCTCCCTTTCTTTCACGACTTAAATGAGAGCGCTTCAAACATGGCAGTGGTTTGTCTTCTTGGTTTAGCACAATCTGAGCCACTTATTCCTATGTTCTTTTCATGTAACAGACAGTGAGCACACACTGAATGTGTAAGTAAAGAAGAGGAAAGAATGCATTCAACCATTCTAGAGTATCTTCACAGAAATCACAAACTCATGAAACAATTTAAAAATATAGATGTACAGTTTTTCTGTTTTATTAAGTGTAATTACAATTTGCAGAGAATTTTTTTACTACTTCCATTTTTGTCTTTTAAAAATAAGAACTCTAAAGCCCACATTTCAACTGTCCTAAAATAATTCAAAATGTTATAGAACATGTCACAATTTTTAAAAAGTACTGTGTCTCCCAAATATAATTCAACTTTAACAAACTGAAATGTTTAAATCCACTGCTTCCTGTAATCAGTCTATGTGAAAATTTGCCCATATCAATTAGCTGGGCCTTTTTACTTACTTCACCTCTACAAACCACTATAATAACACAGTGATGCTCCAAAACCTAATTCCAAGTATCCACTGTTAGTCTAGTTTATAAAAACAATACAATTTACACACCTCTTTGATTTCAAAGTTTAACAGCAAACTAATGGTGTCTATAGAGTTGATTTCTTCCATTCCAACTGGGAAAGTGCCTTGTGGAGCATATACATTCTGTTGTGATGTAGAGATCTCAATATCTTTATTTTCACCTAAAATATTTAAAAGAAATTAATCCATTCTTATTCATATATTCCTTTCAAGAACATTTATTGAGGATTTACAGGAATATTCAGTGCCTGGTACAGACACTGATAATTCTCAAACCCAGTTAGACAAACCTCCTGTCCTTAGAAAATGCAAGGTTAAGTAGAACAGATACATATATATAAAATAGAAACAAACAAAAGGAGCAGGCCACACCTATTGATGTTAACTAAATAAGTGTTAATGGGTATAAATAAAGTTTCATAATAACAAAATCTTAAGATACTAGTCACTTACCAAATTGGCCACATTCTAAAATGATAGTGTATTTACTGTGTTAGAAAAAGCTTTAGAAAAACAAGTTAATAAGCATAAAATTAGCATAAATTCTTTAGAGAGTAATTACAAGATCTGGCAATTTTTATATTTCAATCCTATTTAATCCAGCAGTCCTGGTAGTTATCCTGTCGTCCGATATATACGGATACTCGGTACAACATAGTCAGCCATTACAAAGAATGAGGCAGATCAATACTTACGGACTGGGATGAACGTCACAGTATATCGTCTAATGTAAAAATGCATACATATGTGTGTCTCACTCACTCACTGCCTTCGAGTCAACTGCAACTCACAGTGACCGGGGGCAGGGTAGCATTGCCCTGTGAATTTCCAGGACTGTAACGGTTTACAGGAGCAGAAAACCTCAGAACTGCTGACCTGGAGTTAGCAGCCCAACAGGACGCCTGTATATGTGTACTTACCACATATTTAATAACTGATACGTAACCAATGTATATACACAATGCAAACAATGAAAAATGTGTATGTGCACGTGTGTGTGAATGAAAGGATATACACACATCTTTAAATATATGCCTCATTATTATGTGCACGTGTGTGTGAATGAAAGGATATACATACATCTTTAAAAATATGCCTCATTATTTTGTCTTAAAATTAAAATAATCATTGTATGTAAGTATTTAAATTCTCTTAGTATTTTCATTTCGGAATTATTGCTTTCAGTATCTTCAGGAGAGAGAAAATATATCTGCCATTTTCATTTTTTGTAGGTATTTTAATACTAAGGCTTACTAAAATCAGATCAAGGATGTTCTAACAACCTACTGCCAACTGAAATTATATTTCTGTATATGTACACTCAAAAACAAATCCAAAATTCAATCATTGATTTGAAATCTTTCCTTGTGGCCACCTCCCAACTCATGCCACTTGGGACTATTAGTCTAAAAAATAACCCAATCTCAAAAGAATCAATCATCTCTAACTATGGTTTCATTTAACAGTATCATTAGTCTTCCTGACGATACAAATCATAACTATATGCATGAACTTGTTTCATGACCTTTTACATTCTATTGTACTAACTAGAAAACTAACAAGACCCATGTCTATGATGTTGCCAATTGTCACCCTCTTACCTGTCTCCTGTTTTGCTGGTCTCCTGCTATCTAAGGCATCAGTAGTTTCACCAAGATTTTCTGCTAGTATTTTAAATAAAAGATTAAGATCTTCTTCATTTAGACTAACCTGTGAAATATTGTGTTAAAAGAAAAATACATCTTAATAAATCATTTTAATGCAGAAAATATTCTCAGTAAAAAAAAATACACAATAAGGCTAACATTGCCTAAGTAGTTACAAACTCATTAATCATTCATGTATTTCACTACTACTTTTAATAGGACACATTAAAACCCTAGGGATTTTGAAACTCTAAGTCTTTATGGGAACAGACTACCTCATCTTCTCGAGCTGGGAGGCTGGTAAAGGCAAGCTACTGACCTTACAATTAGCAGGATTGTAAGCGGAATAAAATTAAAAACCTACTTCCATGTCAAAAATGCCTATTTCAATGCTATAATTATCTTAGAGGTCATTAGATATGAGTAAACCATTTAGGTGTATATAATATATATCATGTATGGTATGGACTTGATCTGGACTGGGCTGGTATGTTCTTAATATGCAATTACTCTTTGATGTAAAATTTCTCTTCCACACACGAGTGTTCCTGGATTTCTTTCTCTAGTCAACCCAGACTAACACATTATGGTACCTGGGAGTGGGGCACTAGAGAAACTAATCATGGAGATGGAGAGTGGATGCTTGTTTGAACTCTGCATTGTGGTGGTTTTTCTTCTTTGGTTAGCCAGAGGTCAGATATGGACATTCAGTTAACTGGGTTGTTTTCTGGAAAGAATATGGGAAGTTAAAGTCTTGGTTTTTTTCTCTGGCTGTTGTCTTTGTTTATGCCTGTTTAAAACAGCAAAAATAAATGTGACTAAAGTAAATGTGCTGAGGGGCCAAAATTGCCCCTTGAATTTCTCACAGACCATGCTGCTTAGTCAAATTGGCTGACAATAGGCCCAGCCCTGGCTTGATACAGTCAGAGGCCTAAAGCCGTATTTTGTATCAATGGAATCATTTAGATGAGGATTAAGATACATTTAGATAAGGATAGAATATTATTCTTTTAGGATTGAGTTTAAGATCTGGCTCTACTAGGTTTTTTACTGTTTTCTTCTGCTTATTGTTATTGATATAATAATTGATAGAAATGATTATTGGAAAGTATAGAGAGTGTAGGTCACTGTCTTCAGCCATCAATTTGTATCTTTAAATGGGTTAGGACACACCTACAAGAGCAGCTCTGGAAAGATAAACCCCACCCAGTGCTCTGGAATGCTCAGGACATTTGTATTTCAACAGACTTGCCTATGGTGCTGTTGGCAGACTGGGAAGAAGGGGAAAAAAGGAACCCTTTGGCTTTTTGAATGTTGAACTCTGGTTTGTGCCTGAGTCTGGAAAATCTAGAGCCATGCAGGAACTCTCCTCTCTAGGATTCAATGTTAATGGGAGCCTGTGGGCAGTCGGCTTTGATAGGTGACCACCTGGATCCACTTCCTGAGTAGAAATGAGAGATATGCAGCAGTAAAGAGGCAGGTCGAGTCTGTTGAAACTCGTGAACCTGGTTCAAAGGGATCGGATTGACTGGTCTGAAGTTCATGACCTAGCCCAAGGGGCTAAGGTTGTTGAAAGTCTGTGAAGAGGACCAAGGTCTGAAGGTGAGGTGACCAACTGGCACTCTGGTGAGGCTAAGTGAGGCAGCCCACACTGAGCTGACCAGAACCTAACCAGATGAAGAGAAGATTTTTTTTCCCTAAATAAATCATTTAATAGGGGCTCTAGCAGCTCTTACAATGAAGATTTTTTTTAAAAAAAATAAATCATTCGGTGTGTGGGGGGGTGATTCGTACAGCTCTTATAACAATCCATACATCAATTGTATCAAGCACATTTGTACATATGTTGTCATCATCATTCTCAAAACGTTTTCTGCTTGAGCCCTAGGTATCAGCTCCTCTTTTTTCTCTCCCAAGATTTTTGAGCCTGTGAACTGGTGCATATTATTGCTCACTTTGTGGACGGCCTATCCTGATTTGACTTTGCTAACTTACAAGGTTCCAACTCAAATGAAGATTCTTCACCTCAAAAGGCACTGGATTGATATAATTGGGCAATATAAAAATTGGATACGCAAAATAGGGAGGATAAAGGCATGAAGTAAGGGGCTTACAAATTTTCATAGGCGAAGGAATATGTTCATAGGGTTATGGGATTATGGTATAGGTCTTCACCTAACTGCAACTGTTAGGCATAGAATATTGTTTTCTTCATTTATAGACTATTATGTTTAAATAAGGCTGGCACATATTGAATGGTATGCATTTTAGTTTTATACTGTTAGGCACAAATATGATTTTACTATTGTCCTTGTTTTAAGAATTATGTATGGCTAAAGAGTTGTGTAAAGGTGTCAAGTTGACAAGGGATGGCCTGTGGTAGTTACACAATTTCATGGCAACTTAATAAATAAGAATGAAGGGGTGGAGTCTAGCCTGTCAATCAGGTTACAGGCTGATCCCTCCTTGTGGGTGTGACCTTCTCATGAGGATTCTGGGAACTCTCTCTCTGCTTCACCTTCCTGTTGACAAGCCACATGGAGCCATGCTGATGACAACCAGAACCCTGGAGATGCCTCCACTTCCCCTGCATTCACAAGACCCTTCACCCACTGACCTGTGATCTTCCTGCATTCGGCATCATGGCATGTGCTGCATGAGTCTGAAGAGGACTATATATGGACTAGTATCGACATGTGGGCTAATATCAGACGTAGAGACTTGATCTGGACTGGGCTGGGATGTTTTCTGATATACAATTACTCTTTGATATAAAGTTCTCTCTTACACATACATGAGTGAGATATACTTATTCTCACTTGTTGTTAAAGGAGCCCTGATGGAACAGATTACACATTAGGCTACTAACTACCATGTCAGCAGTCTGAATCCATCAGCTTCTCCAAGCGAGAAAGATGAGGCTTTCTGCAACCGTAAAGATTCAGAGGCTCACAAACCCAGGGGGCAGTTCTACACTTCCCAACAGGATCGTTGTAAGTTATGATCAACTTGATTGCAGGGAGTTTCATTTTTAGCTGCTCACTGTACGGATGATTCCAATTCATAGCAAACCCTTACAGAAGAGCCTAAAACACTGCTCTTCACCACGCCATCCTCACGATTGTTGTTATATTTGAGCCACTGTGGCAGCCAATGTGTCAATTCAACCCTAGGGTCCTGTTTCCCATCACGCCTTTACCAAGCATGGTGTCATTGGAAGGACTGGTCCCACTGGGCTGCATGTTACTAATGCACATAAAAAGAAGTCTCACCATGCTCACTCCTAAGGGACATTCTGTCTATACGTCTTCCAAAACCTGTGTTTGTTCTTCTGCCTTCCGTGATATTATTCACCGTTCTTTGCCAACACCATAACTCATAGGCACCATTTTTCTTTAGTCTTTCTTATTCTTTGTCCAGTCTTCACATGCATGTGACACAATTAAAAATGCCATGGCTTGGGTCCAACACACCTATAGATCTCAAAATGACATCTTTGCTTTTTAATATTTAAAAGATCTTTTTTGGGCAGATTTGAACATGCAATATATCATTTGACTTCTTGGCTGCTGATCCAAGGGCACTGATTGTAGATTCAAGTAAAATGAAATACCTTGATACATATTTTCAAGCATTCCATTTCATTTTTACAACTTCAAATTTCCTAGATTCATACTTCATACATTCCATGTTCCAATTACTAAGCATGTTGACAGCTGTTTCTTCTCATTTTGTGTCATTAAAGTCTTACTCCACCTAGGCCATGACCAAAGACTGTACTGTGAAAGAGCTTGTGGTAGCTGGATTTTCGGTCAACCTGAGTTTGGCTGGAAGTTGGGGGTGGAATCCAACCTGTCAGTCACATCAAAGCCTGAGGATGCCCCCTGGAGGTGTGGCCTTTTCATAGAGGAGAAACTGGGCTGGAATACTTCCTGGTGTAAATTACTTCTTTTTTTTTTTTTTAATTACTTCTTGATTTAAAGTTCTTTCTTGTACATAGATGAGTGTCACTGGTTTCTTCCTCCAGACAATCCAGCCTAACACATACTTTCCTAGTTGTATTTTGAGAGTCTTCCAACATTAGGGGCTCATCTTCTGGCATCATATCAGACAATGTGCCTCTGCTACATATACATTTTTCTTTGGTTAATATTTTTTAGAAGCTAATCACAAGTTCCTTCTTCCTAGTATGTCTTAGTTTTGAGCTCTGAAGAAACCTGCCTATCTGTGTGTCCCCCTGCTGTGCTCCACGGGCCACCATTTCCCAGTATCACGGCAACATGCAACACCTCAGTCAGGCACACTAACAGACAAGTAGTGGATAACATACTAATAAACATTTTACATACAAATTTCTGTTATTATGTTCTCAGGGCAAATTATAAAAAGTTTAAATTACACTTAATTGAAGATTATAAATTCTACTTAAAATAATACAGAATCATGCACGCTGTAGTGTTTTTCTTACAATAGTTAAAAACTTCTACATGTGGATTTATAATGAGAATCTTTCATCTAAACCTTTTAAAATATAGTTTTTAATCACACATGTACTTACATTCATTGAATCAAGTTGTCCTTTAATTTCTACAACAGGTAACTTGTGGTACCAAGATGCAGCTAGATTCCGATTTATAGAGAAGTCCAAGTTAATTGGGTACAACAGCTGAATATCAGGATAGGAGATGCCTGGCTGGATCACTGTCCTATTAAAAGATATCATGGACACATATGCACATTTTGGATAAAATACAATGTATCATAAATGAACACAAAGTAAAAAGTTGATGCTCTTGATGCCGATGTGAAATTGTATTGAAAGCTTTCAAATGTGAATTCACAGTTAAGTAAGTAGTGCTTCGTTCTGTTGTGCACAGGGTCGCTAAGGGTCAGAACTACTGGATGGTACCTAACAGAGCAACAGCAGCCACAAAACCCAACAGCAGGCACAGCGAAAATACAAAACACACTGGAATCTCAAAAAATTCATGGAAAAATTCTACTCGCTTCTAATCCCATTTTCCCATGAAATTTTTGAAGCCCTCTTACGTATTATACATCGTTAGAAAATCTTTAATAAATAGTGAGTAGAAAATATTTAAATAGTGACAAATTGAATAAATTTTTAAAGAAATTCATATTGTTGAAGAAATGGGAGGTCATCAAATACAGTTGTTCAAGGGCTTACATATATTTGGCTCAGGTATTAAAAAAAACAAGGTAAACTGTTCACAGTGAGGGGATGTTGTGTTAAATTGTTACTTCTTGACCCTGGATAGAGTCAAATGAGCTCACACGGCATCTGGGATGGGCAAGTGAGAACGCATCGTCACTTACACAGTATCCCTCCCTAAATGCATAGTCTCATTACATCATGTGGGAAGGGTCAGATGAAACAGACCATTCAAACTCTCAAAACACTCTTCACAATGAAAGACAAGGCAAGAATGAAGAACTGCTTTGGGATAAATATTATTACAGGAGCTAGATGAGGCTTCCTACTCCTGTAAAGAGTGACAGTCTCAGAAACCCAGCAGGGCAGTTCTACTCTGTCCTGTAGGGTCACTATGAGTCAGAGTTGACTGACTGGCAATGAGTCTGTTTTTCCCATCAGTGCAAAAATCCCCCTCAGTAATTGTAGAACATGGCTAAGTACCATACGTGGCCTGGATCCGAGAGGAAAATTACTTTTAAAATCCCCAAAATTATTGCTTAGGAGGATGTGTGTATGGGAATATGAAGTACACATATTCAATAATGTATTACATCAGTGCTAAAACTCATTAAATTAAATTCCCTTAGAACTTTCATTTCAGAATAATCTTTTCAACATCTTTGGGAGAATAATCATTTATCAGCCACTTTCATTTCTTGCAGCTATTTTACCACTGTGTCCTACTAAAATCAGATCAAGGATGCTGCTACTGCAGCCTAGGGCCAAATCAAAAGATGCTAAACTATTTAGGGGTTAGTTGTCAAGATACCTATTCCCAAATGGTTTATCAAAAAATGTTTTAAATAACAATGACATATAGATAGAGCTAACAAACAAAAGCAAACGTTGGTGAATGGCGGTGAAGAACAGATGGGTGTTCATGGTACTCTTCTTCCAACTGTTCTGTAAGTTTGAACATTTCCAAATAAAAAGTTGATTTTAAAAAAAGTGTTCTGTGTAGTAGATGTCCTTTAGGTACGGATTTCAAAGGTCACGAAATTTCATAGGAAACACGAGCATAAGATTGTATCTATAATGACTGAAAGGGAATACCTAGAGAGTTTCAGCTTTGTGAGACGCACAGCCATCCTATCAATGACTGGTGGATTTAAGCAATCTTCACCAGATACCAGACTGAAGTGATTCTGAACTCTGATTAAGCCAAGATCTACCACCAATGCATTGGCAGACATGGAAGACTGTGGGATGATTATAACCGGTGCTTTTAAATCAATATTGAGGGAAACACGGAAACTCCTCTGGGCCAGATCTTTCACACTCGTGGCGGCCTTTTCTGCTGCTTGGGCCGTGGCAGCACTCAGCGCTTCTTTGGCTGCCTGAAAATTGTTCATGAAGTTCTGTGGATGGAAAGCATAAAAGGAAAACAGGTCAGACACATGAATAATAATATCTCCTTTTTATACATACACTGTTTTTTTTCCCAATAAAGAACTTTTGGTCAAACCTATTTTTCAGTGTGTAGCTAAGAATTACCGCTAACCCACCTGCACTGATGAGCTACGTGACTAGGGCTAGGGTTATCAGACTGTGAAACAAAGAAAACAGGTTTTCAGTAGTTTTTATACTTGAGTCTCATTTGGCTTTCTTACGGTCCTAGTAAAAACTACTGTCAACCCCAGTTCTACACAAAAACCATAAACCGATTCACATTTCAGTATCCTACATTAAACAAAAGTTATTAACCTCTCTAGTGTTGTTACTGATAGGTGTCTTCAAATAAATGCTGACTCACAGGGTCCCTGTGCACAACAGAAGAAAACACTATCCTGTGCAGCACCAGTCTCACAACCTTTCCTGTGGCTGGATCCTGCTGCAGCCACTGTGCCAAGCTATCTCTGAAGGTCTTCTTTTTTGCTGACCTTCCACTTGACTAAGCATGATGACCTATACCAGGAAGGGGTCCCTCTGGATAACATGTCCGAAGTATGCGAGACAGAGTCTCACCATCCGCACTTCCAATACAGCAAGCAGGTTACATGGTTTACAAATACTGTCTTCTTCAGGCGGTCCACGTTTCCTATTCTTCACCAACACCACACATCAAAGGCATCAGCACTTCCCTGTCGTTGTCTGTCATTCGCTGTCTAGTTCTCATGTGCACATGAGGCCACTGAAAATACCACGGCTTAGTCAGGGGCCCTGTACTCCCCAGAGTGTCGTCTCAGCTCGTCAACACTTGAAAGACATATTTTGCAGATTTTTCAATACAATATTGAGATGCACTAATGACTTAATATGGCCCTGCTATCTATAATCCTTCTTGCAATACATTATAAACACTAACCTCGATGCCTGTGGTTAAAATCCCATTCTGGATGGAGTTCTCTATTCCGTGAATGGACATATTCAGATGGGATGTACATTGAGTCTCCGCCTTACTAAAAGGTGTGATTCAAGTCACCAAACTGTTACCTAGGGGGTATGGTCTACAGAAGGTGACAACCATACCTCCAGAGAAGCTATTCTTTTTTGTAACCTCCCCTTCCTGACCGAGCATGCTCAGAAAGAAGGAGTCCTTCTGTGACTGTCATTTTTGCTTCTGCCTCTGGCTACTGCATCTGTCTTGCCTCTACTTGACATCTATTTCTTAGGGTCTTATTTGTGATCTATCACCTGGCCTGATTTTACCAGATTCCAGGACTTTCTTGATCAGGAAGATCCTTCAGAAAAATATCTGAACTTTGAATTTTTTGGATTTTGGGCCAACCAGCACCCACAACCACAGGTGCCCTTCCTTTGAATAGTTCTTGAGTTTTGTGAGACATTGCAGCAAATTTCAGAACCCTGAGACATGTGGAAATATATTACGAGGAGGCATGGTAGTTGATATCAGGGCTGATAATACAGTGGGATGTCATTTTAGAAGAGCTAGGCATTTTAGGGGACTTTTAATCTCCACTTCATTGAGTCTGGTCTTGTATTGATTTTTTAAAAGAAATTATTTTTGCAAATATATATTTTGATTTCTTGGCATGAATGGTAGATCTGAGCAAAACAAAATTCTTGACAATTTCAACATTTTCTGTTTATCATGATGTTACCTACTGGTCCAGTTGTGAGGATTTTTGTTTTATGTTGAGAACCATACTGAATGGCTATAATCGGTACTAAGAGCTATAGTTTTTAATCTTCATCAGTAACTATTGATGCCACAATCTTCTTCATATAGTGCACTTTCCAGAATTATTAGTTCAGCAGACAATTTAAAAAGTATGGTGAAAGAATACAATCTTGGCACTAATTTTAAACTACTCACTATATCTTTGTTCTATTCAAACAATCACTTCTTGGTCTGTGTAGAGGTTCTGCATGAGTATTAAATGTTCTGAAATTCCCATTCTTCCCAATGTTATCCATGTGCTGAACTTTATATTTATAAATATTATATATAATCAGAACAATGCTGAGGTAGTTACTTTATTGTGACAACCTGGCCGATAAACACATGTGGGGTTAATTGAAGAGCAGAGGGATAAATGGCTCAGTGAGCCTCGCCTTTCGAGTTCTCAGGGCTCTTGCTTTGTGATGGTCGGACCAGGGTGTAGCTGCCTTAGCCAGTTCCCTGCTTCAGCTGGCAAGGCTCACTTCCTCTAAGACATCCCTGAGGAGAAGCCGCATGAACCTGCCCCAATGCAGCCCTGGGTGCTGGAGCAGCCGTGTGGAGACCACTGCCAGTGCTGACATGCTTACACATTCACTGACTCGGCTTTCCTCCTGCAGTTGGTGTCATAGCATGTGTTTTGTGAGATGGAGGAGGACTGTGTGGATTGGTGTCGGACATACGGGTTAATGTTGGACTTGTGGGCTTGGGCAGCACTGGGTTAGGATGTTTTCTTGATGTGCACTTACCCTTTATATAAAACTCTCTGTCTTATACATATGAGTTTCTGTGAATTTGTTTCTCTAAAGTACCCAGACTAACACAAATGCCCCTTAAAATCCAAGGTATAAAGATTTGCGACCAAAAAAATTAAGCTATTCATATCCAAGCTGAAAATCCAATATATAAATAGTAATTTTACCAGAAGTGACATCAGGAATTTATGAAGATACACAATCTGAATACAGCCAACATTCAGTGATACCACACCATCTACTTTGGACATGTCAGAATAGGAATCCCCCTCAGTAGCATCTGGGTACAAATCCAAGTTGAAACGAAAAACTTCATTTCCCATTATTGAGACAGCCTGAAAAACAGAGATCTGAATGTACTTCATCCAAGAAGGCAATGACAAAATAAAACCCCATTTAGAAAAGAAGTTCACATTTTAAGCTTTCCAAGATACAATCTTTATAGAAACATTTTTCCATCAAAATATATTTCATCAATATATTTTAAAGTTAAAAATAAGTTATATATTACAACAAAATTACATCATTCAATTGCAAAAAATAAACCCAAAACTCAAATAAATAATTAGTTACTGTCACCTACGTTTTTATGAACTGTCTTAGGATCAACATCTGTGACAATAATATTTTCCAGTCTGGCAAATAGTGATTGTTTTCTTGATTGAAGAGAAAGAAAGGAATCAAGGCCTGGGGGGTGGGGGGGTGGAAATCATATCATTATAATTTCTATAGATCTACCAAGGAGCCCTTGTGATGCAGTGGGTTACGAACTGGACTGCTAACCACAAGATAAGCTGCTTGAAACCACAGTCAAATTCAGACTTGCAAATGTACTGCCTATTTAGCAAAGGGCAGAAGGGGGAGTGGGAGGCTTACGAGTTCTCCAAGAATCTCATTAAGCACACTCTTTACCTCACCATATCACAGTGAGCTGGCAGGACAAAGGCAGAGGAAGAGCTGGGTGAATGTTAGTGGCTTCTGCCCAGAGCTTCACAGGCTTTGTTCTTCATTACAAGGTTGCCTGGAATTCATAGCAAGATAAAGCATCTTCAAAGAATTTTACCTGAATTGGGGACTGGCATCCCAACCCATTATTAGTATCCCTATTTTGATATTAATACCCTTCTCCGCTCTGGGACAATTCTAAGAAAGCTTTAAAATACCATTGTGAATAGGTCAATTTGATGGTTAGATTCTGACCCCCCTTCTTTGTGTCCCTCCCCACCCAAAAGAAAGCAAGTAGCCCTACTCTGTCCGTCTTTCAAAGCTCACAGCCATCCAATTGGAAATTCGTTAGAAATGAGAAAAAAAGAGAAAAAACTTGTGTTTTACCTAAATTTTGATAATGTAGCAACTTTTACCTTGGATCTTGATTTCAGCAATATTGCTCTTTTCATCACAAACAATGACACAGAAAGCACTCAACTTGGCAAACAGACGGAAGGCAATGACGCCACTGTCTTTAGTGGGTACAATCACTAGAAATTAAAAACACATTCTATCACAGATAGGCTTTAGTCATCTACAATCTATTAAGGAATCATGCTTCTAGTCAACGTACCACAGTTTTGTTAATACTATAAATCTTCTAAAACTCATACAATTTCAAATACTTTTTGTACTTTAAAGACTTTCGAGAGTTTGCATTTTTATTTTACTTTTAACATTTAAGTGGCAGGACAAAACCTAAAGTGAATAAAGACATTAAAACACTGAGAGGCTAAATAATGTGCCTATAATCGCATCGTGTAAGTTACAAAGTCAGGACTTGAACTAGGGAAGATTGACCCTATTGCTGTTATCACTTCAGAAACCACTGGAAGGCCTGGAAGAGCTCAGTGTGAAAAGGTCTTCTCTCCCTTCTTAGTTAAGGGCTTCCCAGTACCATCACCAAGATAAACACTAGAATATTTTTCCCTAAAATAATTCCATGGAGGACATTTTCCCCATATATCAAGCACCCATGTAAGATTTTACTTAGGGGGAAAAAAAATCATGAAGCAGATAACCTCTACGACTTCTCATCTCTTACTAACAAGAAACAAAAAAAGTGCCTCTCATACCCTTTTGCGGAGTTGAATTTTTCTGTTGCTTTTCAGTTAACATTTGTGTCTCCTTGACATCAGCCATGTTTTGATGATCTGACGGAATCATGTTTGTCAGGTATGTGATAGAAGAGAGAAGGGCCTGTGTTTGTAGCAACAAACTTAAAGAGGAAAAGGCCACCTGAAACGGTTTTGAAAAGAAAATGTCTTACGGTTATTTGTCTCAACCATGAATCCAGAAGGCTCCCAGCTAAGCCAGCATCACAGGCTCCACCACTCTGACAGAGGTTTTAAGGTAAAGGATGATTTACAGCCCAGGTTCCTTGGAGGAAGCGGCGATCAAGAGTAAACGCCACACACTTCAAGCGTACACTAGAGTATCAGAGTAACCCAATTACTTAATTTCTCAGAATACTTGTTGAGGAGCCTACAACTTACTTCTGAGTCACGTCAGCATTCAACACATACATGGTTGCTGGGCTCTTCAATGACTATTAACTGTGACTCTATAAAATTCACAAGCTAGAACATGAAACTCCAGAATCACTATGTGTCATTAGTATGTCTAGAAATTATGTAACAAATGTGGCATTCATGAGGAAGTTTTCGGTCATTAAACAATCTTCTGAAATCTCAATGATCGGCCTATCACTTAAGAAACACAGAACACATGAAATCACGAAGGCAAAGAAAAAACTGGACTCCAGAAACTGATAGCAGCACAAGTTGTTTGTAATAATGTGCAGCATTCTCACAGCAACTTAGCAGATACCATGGCAACCTTTGCTTATATGTAAGAGAGTGTGCTTCATTTCCTGAAAATACTAAGGAACATAAAAATGCTTTAAAAGGTTATAATATCACAATTAATTTAATTATTTTTACATTACCCCCCAATAAGATCATTTATATGTGTACTGATGTAAAAAGCATCTCACTCATTTTCCTTTTAGTGTAACCCGCAGCTACATTTTGCTTCCTGTTCTCTCTGCTACTACCTGAGTAGTACCCCAATACTCCAACGTGTCTCCTTGTACATCACACGTTCACTCCTGCATCCAGCAATGAGATCTAGTGTGCTTTCTTTGATCCTAGTTGGTTCTTTGTAAATCTAAAAATTCCATTTTTGAGAAACACAGCAAGTCAAAACAATACTAAGCTGGATCTTATAGTAACTGAAATTTAAAATAAGCATATAACATATGAAGTACTTATGAGGTTAATTTATAACTTATTTCTTCAAATGGTCCAGTCAATATGCCTCAAAGTAGATTAAAACTTTGAATATAGTTGATGACTGTCCAATAAAATACATTCTTTTAATAGAATTTCTTAACCCCACCCTCACCCTTTTTTGTTGTTGTTGGTTGGCTTAAAAGAACAATGACCATTCATTGTCACTCAGTGTCAGGAATTCAGGAGCAGCTTAAAAATGTAGGTCTGGCTTGGGATCTCATCTCATTAGTTTTAGAAAGTCAATGGCTGGTACTAGGGTTATTATTAAGATGTCTTGTTTCACATCATTAACAGAATTTCTTACCTTAACTGTTTGTTCGGTGTTTTCAAAAGTAGTTTGGAAACTAGGTCCATTCTTATCAGCCTGCAAAATGAAATAAAAGTTTTAAAGAAGGATACAAAGATTAAAGTAAGTAAATCCCTTATGATCTCTGGTTAACTTATCTTTAATTACAAATGAATTTTTATATATGAGTAATTCCACTATCATTACTTTAAAGTTACACTGAAATAATTTATTTATTGTAATATAGCAACGTCTCCTCCTCTTTTACATTTAGAAGTGCAAGCTACCATTTACTTCTGGGTAACCAAAACTAGGGATAGGAATTATAAACTCTCAAGGTTGAAATTGACCTTAATGGTCATCTAGTCCATTAGTACAGGATTCTGGTTGCTGTACATGGTTTGTGTTCATTTACTACCTAAAGGTTTGTAGTTCAAACCCACCCAGCGGTACCACTAAAGAAGTCTGACAATTGGCTAAAACAAGAAAACAATTGGCTAAAGCTAAAACAATTGGCTAAAACTAAAGCAGTTCTAGTCTGCAGCAAATGGTGTTACCATAAGTCACAATCAACCTGAAGGCATGGTTTGATTTTATTGCTATTGTATTTGTTTAGTCTATCAGTCACCTAATACTTGAGAAGCTTCTAACTGGGCTGGTTTCCCAGCCCACATGCTCCTACGATGGTCTGTGCATTTCTCTGTTGGAAAGCAAATCATATTGTATTTTAACTATTTAACTATTTATCATTCCTTGGGGACAGGGAAAAGTTCCAGAATGGAGATATAGATATTCCACGTGCCTTACAGAGTACCTAGCACACACAGACACTCAGTGAATAGTTTTTGAATCATTAAAACAAACCAACTAAATCTTGCTTGAAGCTAAATACATCAGCTGCATCATTGTGTCCCATGACATATTCTTAAGCTCTATTTCCAATACTGGCAGTTTTCTCCTCATACAATTCAATTTGAAAGTATCCCTTTCAATGTAGTGCTAATCAGTCAGGTGTAACCAGGTAAACAACTACCATAATGAAGGTTAAGGGACTATGCCCTCTCAATACCCCTATCAGAAGATAGGAACACTCATTAGAACACACTGCATCCCAGGTTATCACCTTGGCAAGAGGGAAAGTGGCTTAGTAATCGCTCTAGATTAAAATGGCATTTTTTAAGCCATATGTCCAGAGCCTTTGATGATCTATCTTTTTTGTTCCTTCAAAGGCAATGATTTGGAGTGCACAAAACAAATGGCCAATTCGACAGCCCTCACCTTAACATACTCCACCTTTAAAAGATCTAATCCAGGTTTGTCAGAAGAGCTGATCAAATGAAGGGGCTTCCTTTTGGATCCTAAATTAAAAGAAAAAGAAAAGAATTGCAAGTAAACTCTTAATTTTCATTTTGGACTTTTCTATTTATTTTGTCTTCAAAAAAAAGTGTTAACAAAGTTTCAAACGGGTACATCCAGATTTCCATGGTCACTGTACTTTGTGTCGTTGGTAGTGAAGAAGCCAATCAATCCAAATCTTCCCCTGCGGCACACAAATTAGCTTTAAAAACATGGTTATTTTCATTTGATTTCACATGTGTGTTCCAAGATACTCATGACTCTTCTAGATATTTTAAGGACATGTGTGCATTTGCAAAGCAACAGAAAGACTACAAGTGTTTACACACCAAGATATGTGAATACTACTTCAACTTCATACAAACCAGAAGCTACGTAACTTCAGTATTCTCAATTGTACAAGGAGGTTAAAGTTTTAAAAAGCTTGCAAGTCTGTTAAGCACTAAAATTCTTAGAAAAAATGTATTTGCATTGAATAAATTTAAATAGTTGTCCTTTGTTTAGACACTAAGAAAGAAGGCTTTCCTAGGAGGAAAAAAATTATGGCAGAAACTGCTAAATTTCTTTAAATTTTAATACAAACCAACCAAACACACTGGTATTCAGTTGATTCCAACTCACAACAACCCCACAGGAAGGACAGAACGGCCTATGGGTCCCAGATTATAACACTTCATGGGAAGCAGCAGCCTCCGCGTTTGCACTAAATGTCTTCTATAAACCAACACCTACTGCCAGGGAATCAATCACAATTCACAACGACCGCTTCAGACAACAGTCTATGCAATTCTATCTAGAGAATCTCTGGAGAGACAAGATTTATTTACCACTTTATCTCTCTTTTACTATTTTCCTGTTTCTGAGACATATCAGAATGTCCTCTTGACCTCCAAGGTCATCCTTCAAAGAACGAAAAAGGCTCAAAAGTCAAGCTCCCTGCCATCGAGTCCCTCAACTCACAGCACTCCACAGGGCAGAGAGAGACTGCTCCTCTGGGTTTCCTATGCTGTCTATCTTTGAGGAACAGGTTTTATTACTCATCGTTTTATCCCTCAGTGGAGTAATGTAAATTCTACATTATTAATTATTAATATGTAAACCTTCATTTTTCTTCTAAACTGAGGCTTACTTTTACAGTTAATAAAAGTAGCAAAACACATAACTTTATATTTGAATAAGACCTTAAGCAAATATTAAGCAACTTTAATTACTAGAGATTCATTCATCTCTTCATTTCTCAGATCTAATGAGCCCACGAGACGTACAAACACTGAAATGCACAAGCCATTAGCATTTCTAAAACAGAGTAAGTTTTATGTTGACTGTTTTTATTTTTATAACCTAGTGCTCCTTGTGATATACTAACATAACACTACTACACATGTAAATATTATCATAAAAATAAAAGTATTTCAGACACTGTAAATGGCTATTATTTCTATTTTTTGTGGCAATTGATTCTTTGCTGCATAGCTATTACCTTGAATTTCGTGGTGATCCAAGCTGATTCTCTTTAAATAAGACACTGCAGCTAGGGCAAACGTTCTCACTGTCACTTCGGTCCCTAACTGAGAGACGCTGAGAACTAGAACTGTCTCTTCCTGTCGCTGTTGTTTGGTGAACTCCAACACCACCTAAAAGAATTGGCACAGTCAATTAAAAGTTGACAAGTGTTCTGAATTACACTTAAAACAACAAAAACAAGTATCTCGTCGCATAAATCACCAGGAAAATAGCACAAAGTTTGCTGATGATTTGCTACTACCATTAAGCTATTTCAGATGCTTAGAAGTTATCATCTTTACCTTCAATTCTACTATTGAAAATATATCATCTATATAAAAATCATGATAAAATTTAGCATCTTTTATTGACACAATTCAATTTAGTAAAAGCAAGAGCAATTTACTTATTCTTCCTTTATATATATGTATATATATTTATATATATATTTATATGTATATTTTTTAAAGCTGTATTCTCAAAACAAAACTCCTATCTGGTGATAAAAAGAATCATTCCCAGTAAAGTGAAAATACAAGGATATACACTATCTTTACTACTGCTTATATTTACAGTGGAATGAAAACCAATATATTTTGACAAAAAAATAAAACATAAGAAGAGGCTTCAAAAATTTATAAAAACAGAATTTTCCCACAAATTTTTTGAAATTCCCTCATGTGATTTTTAATTTATATAAAATTAAAGTTATTTGATATTCCCATCAAGAAGTGAGGGTCGTTACTGCCTCACTTTGAATTTCAATAGACAGGTGACTACTTCAAGCAACAGAGTACAGGAGGGAGAGATGCTACAATGACTTCTGATGTCAAAAAAGGCCATGACATTTACACATAGGGTTAACATACAAATAGTAATATCATACGTTCAGATATTCATCACAGAATCTATTAAAATATTTTCAGATAAGTCAGGGTGTTAAATATAAGCCATGAGAAATGCAGCAATACATAAAATAATTGGTAAATATTTTTGTAATGGAGGAGCACTTTCTAATGTGCCACTAGAACTCAAATGTAAACAAAAGTATGATGATACAGTTTACTATATAAAAAACCCAAACCAGTATCATGAAATCAATTCTGACTCATGGGGACTCGACAGAACAAAGCAGAAATGCTCCTATGATTTCTAAGACTGTAAATGTGTACGGGAGCAGCAGGTGGATGTGAACTGTCAATATGTTGCAGCTGGTAACCCAATGCTTAACCCACAATGCTACCAGGGCTCCTTCAATTTCACCACAGAAACAATTAAAACTTTAAAAGTCACACTGGAGGAAAAATCTTTTTATAAATATAAATGAATTCATATACATGTCACACGTTGCTTGATACGTGATTTGTACATTATGGGAACAAGACTAAATCCTGAGCAATAGTATTCACCAATATTCCACCTTCCTGTTGTTTAATATAGCCTTTTGTTTCACTTCCCAACTGATATTTCTCCTTTGCCTGCTGCTGTTGCTGTAACTAATACTGGTTTGCTAGGAGCCATGAAGCACTTCACAGTGATATTTTCAAGAGAAAATTAAGTAGATAGCAAATGTGACAGCACATAAAAGATACAAGCTGCTGCTGTGTGAATTATAGGACACAGTACTGTACAGTCAACTTTTTATTTGTAAGTAAGAAAATTTCACATTAAAATACTGATAATTAGTACAGCACAGAACATAATATATACCCATTACTATATTCTATGCCCGCTGTATCCAGCCATCTATGTCCAGCTCTGCAAACAGAATTTCTGAACTCTATTATAATCTTCTAGGACCACAGATGTATATGTAGTCAGACATTACCCGAATGGAAGTTACACAGCACATGACCGTAAGATTAAAATGAAAAGAACTGTCCCGGGGGGACGGACAACAGAGAAGTGAGTGAAGGGAAACATTGGTCAGTATAAGACATGAAAAAATAATAATAATTTATAAATTATCAAGAGTTCATGATAGAGGGAGGGTGGGGGGAGGGAAGGGAAGAAATGAGACGCTGATACCAAAGGCTCAAGTAGAAAGAAAATGTTTTGAAAATGATGGCAACAAATGTACAAATGTGCTTGACACAATGGCTGGATGGATGGATTGTGGTAAGAGTTGTAGGAGCCCCAATAAAATGATTTAAAAATTAAAAGAACTCTCACAGAGAGAAAAATGATCAGAAATAATGTCCAGAAAATTGGACAAAGAGCAGGAACAGTCAATTCTCCAAAAAGGAATAAATTCATGTAATGATTCTGAACCTCAGAAGATGTTCAAGCAAATCAAATATATTCAAAGTAAAACATGTTTTCACATTCCTCACCTAATTAGCATGTATTAGGTGTCACAAAATAATAATTGTTTTCTTGAAACTTTTTTGCAGGGTGTGTGTGTTTTGGGCAAGAGGGAAAAGAGTGTATCAGAGTTAATATGCTTAATGTTTGCGTCTAGCTTGAAATAATTTACAGGAAGAGTCACAACAGAAAAAGTGTATTTATTGCTAGAACTGCGATACAGACCTCTTTGATTTCAAACTTGAGCAGAAGATGAATGAGTTCCTCATTTGGAGGCTCTGCAGCTTTTTTTAACTCTGATCCTTTCCCACCCTTCCCCACCTGAGAGTCTCCTTCTTCAGCATCAAAATACTCGTCCTCAGACTCTAAAGGAAGAAGACAATCGTTTGACGTGAAAACTGCATGTAACGTTCAAACTTCAATGTCCCACAGTAAAATTAACATATTAGTTAACCATCATATTCTGACTTGGAATACGTTTAATGACTTTAAGTCCCACAAAGTCACATGACCACATTTAAAATCAACCAGCCTGTCTTTTCTTTGGTCGTCCTGATTGTTTTTCTCTTTAGTTCATTCATTCAATACTCAGTGAAATGACTTGAGGGCATCATCTACCACGTGTCAGGCACTGCCACCCGCTGAGAACGACAGAGTGACCAAGTGTGACATGGCCCTATCCCCCCCCATGAAGCTTACATCACAGTTCCGGTCATAGATGACCAGCCAACCAGAGCTAGAGAAACAGGTAAGGTAGAGAGTGTGGCAACAAAAGTGGCTTGTTTAGAATCTTTAACACTGTCAATCACAAAAAAAACCTGATAGATAGCTATCCCTTCGTTTAACTAATGAAGAAACACAGGCTTCAAAAGTTAAGTGATTCAAAGGCATACTGTTGGTTAGTAAGCACAATAGAACTATTAAATTACTATATTACTTTCAAAAATTTGTAAGCCAATTTATAGGCTTGGCTGAATGGACAAAAAACATTGCATTATATTTACCTGATTCCACTACATCAAGTAATAGTGAAGTATCCAGTAGACCTTTGGTCCCATCAGAAATAATAGGAATTGAGGATATCTAGGAAAGAATATAAACAGCTTCCTTAGCATATAGATTCAACGTGCATAATGCATATAAGTGACAGAATCAATGTGCACAATGTGCATAAATGGAAGGATGAAAAGCAATAAAAGTTATTAAAGAGGGAAAGAAATCCACCCACAATAATCTTTCAACTCAACACATTATGCAACTCATAATTAGTGATTTGCTTAGCTAGCATGTATAACTTATTAAGACTCCCACCTGCATCTACGAGAACAAACTACATACAACTCCAAAAGGTAAATGTGCATCACTTATGTTCTCTATTACAACATGATCATGAATCTATAATACATGTGCCTGCAAATTGGCATCAATTGGATCTCTTCTCAAATTCCATTTCGAAAATACCTGACTATGCACCATTTACCTTATCCAACTCAAACTAAAATGAACTAGGGCTTTCAAGTCTAAACAAAACACAATGAAATTTCATACCAATTATTTATTTACAATATTTTAAAGATTTTTATGTATCGTTCTATTTAAAACAAGTTTTGAAAATCTGAAAGATATTTTCCTTTTACTAATGCATTTTTGTTCCCTATATTTTTAAATCCCAACCAAACTCACCTGCTCTTGTCAATTTTGACTCTTAGCGACCTCACAGTACAAAGTAGACTGGCCCACTGGGTTTCCAAGATTGTAAATCGTTAGAGAAGCAAACTGCCTCATCCTCCACAGAGTAGCTAGTGGGTTCAAACCACCAACCTTGCAGTCAGCATTTAACCCACTGTGAAAGCAGAGCTCTGTAATCATTAATTTTCACAACTATTCTAAAACAGCAATGAGCTACAATGTTTATTTTTTTTCAATGTCCCTTAGTTGTTTACAGAATCCAAAAAAATATTAAACTTAAAAAGTGAATCAAATAAATCATTGTAAGAATTACTGAAAATCAAAATAGTGCACATAAAGATGAAACAGACTACATATGCAAATATGGGGGGAAACCCTTGTTTTTTTAAACTTTTTTAGCATTCTTATTCTATCCATTTACCTGTTTCTCTGGAGACTGCGAAGGTGATTTCTGTGGCAAGGTTATGCTGTTAATCAGGTAGAGCACATCTTTCATCTTCTGGTCAGAAATTCTCACGTGCATCAAAGGAAGCCCTCCTGACACTTTGAATCTACAAATGCAATCCACACATGAGGTCAGAAGGCCCAGCTTCTCTGCATAACAGAGGAGAGCGCATGGAAAGGGGACTGCATGGTAGGATCCAAGGCACCACTTTAGAATATTTTAATCGAATGCCTCATTTAGTGAACACTTTCAGGAAGTGGGGCATAATCACGTTTTCAAATGATTTAACCACTCTTTTTAGGGAGTCAACCCCCTTTCGGTTCCCTAATTCATATGAAAATATCTCCAAGCACAACTCAATACATTTAAAAATAAAAAACATGATATATATTTTAAGTATTTCCTGGTAAAAACATGTCCCATGATAAATACTAAGAGCACCTACTGCGCACTCTCTCACATCTCCTAGTTCTGTTTCATGGCGCTGTCACCCCCCATGTGGCATACGTTTGTGTTTGCCTGCCATCTCCTCTAACTTCCTAGCGGACATGTCTGTCTTACGCTGATGTTACGAGCTGCTTTGACTCGGCTCTCCCAGCCAGCACAATTGGCTAAGGTTTGTCTTGACAGCATTGGCACAGCTGATTATGCCCATAAAGCTCTTTTCAGTTGCTGTTTACCTCTGGCTTCCTGACTAAGCTGTGAACAGCTCATCTGACAGTTGTCTAATCTCTAAGTAAAGAGAGAGATTCTGTGTAATGCATGAACCACTGATGTACAAAAGACTCAAATTTCTGTAAAAGGTCTCGGAAACTAAAAAGCACTATAAAACTGTGAATTCCTTTACTATTTCTGAAACATCATGTAAAATTTAAAGCATCATAAATAGAGAAACTGGATTAACCATCCCAGCTAAAATAACTAAAACACTGAACTTAGTATGTGATACGATTTCAAAGACACAAGCCACCAGGCAATGAGGACTGTTCAGAGATGAGAATGAGTGAAGAGAACACCACCGCTCTCTCGGTTTGCTGTCGTAAGACTGTCAGATTTTATGCGGTTCAGTAAATGCACAAGCACGAACTCCTATATTAGAAAGAAAGGGTCTCAAATCAATGTCCTCCACTTCCATTTTAAAAACCAAGATTAAAAAATGGCAAGTGAAACCAAATCTAGCAGGGGAAAAAATCAGTAACAAGCATTAGAGTAAAACTAACACAAATATGATAGAAATGAGAGCTGGTTCTTTCAAAAGAAGAGAAACCTCTACCCGGCCTGATCAGGAAAAAGAGAGTAAAGACATACATTATTAAGATCAAGGGTAAGGGAGGTAACCACCACAAAATCTACACACAATTTTAAAGTGTGGTAGTTACATAATCTGGTGTTAATTTGAGAGAATTATGAGTAAAGGGGTGGAGTCTGGCCTGTCATCAACCAATGAGGCCTCTGTGTGGGCATGACCTTCTTCTGAGAATTCTGGGAACTCCTGTATTTCCTCCTGTTCTTCCACCACCACTGGAGCCACAGACTTTGCACCCACTGGCCTGTGATCTTCCTGCATTCGGTGTCGTTGCATGTGCTGCGTGAGTCTAGAAAGGACTTTATAGATTGGTATCAGACAGATGGGCTAATATCAAACGTACGGACTTGATCTGGACTGGGATGTTTTCTCAATATTCAACTGCTCTTGCATATAAACCTCTTTTCTATACGCATATGAGTGTCCATGAATTTGTTTCTCTAGTCTTACCCAGACTAACACAAAAGTAAGGACATTGTATGAATGGCATTTCACCAATAGACTCAACAACTAGATAAAAAAAATTCACTACCATAGAGTTGATTCCAACTCAGAGCAACGCTATAGGAGAGAGTGTAACTGCCCCCTGTGGATTTCTGAGACTGTAACTCTTTACAGAAGTAGAAAGCCTCATCTTTCTCCTACAGTGGCTAGTGGTTTTGAACTGCTGACCTTGTAGTTAAGCATCCCAATATGTAATCCACTATGCTACCAGCGTTCCTCAACAACTAAAATAACATAGATTAAGTCCTCAAAAAAGCACCAACAACCAAAGATCATTTGGGGGGTGGGGGGGAAATCATCTAAATACCCCTATGTCTATTAAAGAAATTGATCTTTTTACTTCAAAATTTGATCACATAGAAAATTCTAAACACCACCCTATCTCAAAAATAAAAAGAAAGAAAACTGAAGAGTCAGATGACTGGTGAATTGTGCCACCATTTTAAGAAAAAAACAAAAATACAAATTACACACATTGTCTTCTAGAAAACCCATTTCATGATGTCTGATAACAATTACCCTGACTCCAAAAATACAGAAGTTGAGACCAAAATCCCTCATGGCTACATTTGCAACATTCTATCAAACAGAATCCAACGGTCTTTTAAAAAAATAATACGTTATGAACAAGTAGGATTAGTCCAGTCATGTGGATTGGTTTTATATTCAACAGGTATAAGTTGTCATTGAGCCGTGACACATACCACATGAATGAATTCCAAATTAATCATAGTGAATAGAAGAAGTCAGAGAAAAAGAGTTCAAAGTGTATAATTGCATTTACATAAAGTTATAGAAAATTCTAACTAAAGTGTATTGCCATAAAGCAGACCAGTGATATTTTGGGGATATTGGGGAGGGGCGTGGGCAGGTAAGGAGGGAGAGGAAAGGAATACTCAGGGGGCGCAAAAAATCTTTTAATGTCACCTTGCCTAAGGTGACACTTTTGAAAGAAGCACACAAATTTCATAGTTGCCTGTCTTGCTCTGAAATTCAGTTTCTATATTTTATTCACTTAACAGATTTTTAAAGATTTGTATGTAGTTAGTGACCAAATTTTATTAACGACTTTGCTTTATTGTTTCTGAGGGTTAGCTTCTCACATTTATTATTAATACCATCACCAACTTTTACAGAATCTGTTAGTTCCAAATAATTCTGAAATCTAACTAGTAATATGTAATCTACATACACATTTTCATAAAAATTTAACTCCATTCTAAAATAACTGTTGTTTTTCCTACAGAAATCCATTTTAATAGCATAAAATCCAGTAACTACCACAGAAATGCAAAGGTGCTGGAAAAAGTTCATGGAAAAAGGGAATTAAAAGATAATGGGATTTTTATACAAACTTTTTAAAGTTCTCTTGCATGTTTCACTTTATTTACTAATAGGTATAAAAAATTTCATACGTTACCTAGACATTCTACTGTCTTTTTCCACCATTGCCTTGGCCAACTCAACATGAATGTCCATAGGTTGTAATATATGCATAGTTGATGGATGCTGAAATCGATACTTTTTCCAGTTTTCCTCTTAAAAAATTTTTTTTAAATATTAACTGATTGCGTTAATTATCCAGTATCTTATATAAAATTACTATTACTAGAAAATTATTAATAAGCTGACTCAATGAATATCCATTTTTACTTCTTTCAACATATAAGAGCTTTATTTAATAAAGATTAACAAAAGATATAAAAACACTTTTAGATATTTATTTAGAGAATTTTCACATGATAATACCTTACATTTCAAAGCAAGCACCAAAGACCCCCAGGAATTAAATTACCTGAATCCAGAATTAGTGGTTACAGTGATACAAAGAAAGGTAACTTTTAAGTTGTTGGGGGTGGTGGTGGACAGATGACAGTGGGAAAAAGAAGAGGTTTATGGGGCTCCTAAGTGCAATTACATTAGCTTAGTGCATCATTCCAAAGCAAAAATAGATTTTATCAGCAAGACTTTTGTGACAAAGAAATATGGGAATCATTTTCCCTTCAAAAAAGGTCCCAAAAGCAGACTTCCCACTGGCTCATGGAGGCTTACATAACTCTCTGTTAGTGGTGATGACTGAACTTCTTTTATGTACTTTTAATTCTTAAATCATACAAATAAAAATGATTTCCATGATCCGTAAAACACTTTCCTACAAAGAATTATAAGACTTACCTGGTGCCCTAAAGATTTTCAGCATCAGAAACCCCTTATAGGGTCACTGTAAGTCAGAAATTACTCAATAGCACTGGGTCTAGGTTTAAGTCTTAGATGTTGTATGCAAGACTGGAGGCATATATTTAAATGTTAGTAACTTCATCACTCCTACAGGAGCCCTCCATCACTCCCCTCTGGTCAAAAATTATGTCTGTCCTTCCCTCCACTGACCTACCACAAAGTGAGCAACAATGTTCAGTAAATATCTGCTGCCTTTGGAAACTGAAGCCTACAGAACCAGCAGTCTTTACTGCACCAGTGAAACCCACCTAAGCTTTTAGAAAATAATTAATTACACTTAAGGGGTTTAAAGCTATATCTAAACTTCAATATCTATGAACGCTCATGCAATACTACTGAAATAAAGTCTAGGCTACCACAGTAAAGTACTTAAGAATAAAGGCAGCAAGGGAAAACATCATCAAAAAATGCCCAAAGCATTGAATTACGGACACTAGAGAGGAGTCTGAGCCAACTGCAGGTTCTATCTTGCATTCTAGGAAGTTTTCTTAACCGCATTACAAAACATATTCAAGCGATGCCAAGGATTCTAAGATAATATATATATTCAAGAATAAGCTGACCCAAGTATCAGCCGAGGCACCTAGTTTTACCACAAAAGCTGCATTAAAAAATGTGCTGAAAAAATTGTTCTTTATTTGTAGCTGGCCAATGATTTCAGTTGATAAGAGTTTCCGTTTCGTTTACTTGATACCAAAAGAATATGCATACAAAACAATTTTCAAGATTTATGTGCATGCACACATAGGCACATAGTTACCCATACCATTTAATATCATTCCAAGACCCAGAAGTAGAGCATCAGTTTACCTGCTCTTGCAAAGAGTAGTTGCACACTTTTTATTTCAACATCATACTTGTCATATGCCTTATCCATTATTTCTTCCAGAGATGAATTGCCAGTCTGCTGCAAACTTTGATCTTTACTGTTGAGCTACAGAGAAAAATTTCACTTTAATAGGAAAAAATACATACGTGAACATGTTTTATTTGTGTCCTCTTAAAGCACAATGAAAATGACAACATTGCCCTTAAGGTTGTTTTGCTAAATTCTCTGATATTATTTTCATATTTCATAGGCAGTATAAAATCTCAGCATACATTTTGTATTTGCAGCACAAATGTAGAGCACATTTTCACTCACTCGGAGATCACTCAATAGTTTGCTACAACCTGTCTAGACATGTATCTCTTCTTAGACTGCGAAGTTCTTATGACGACGGCGGCCACCCTGGGAGGTCAGAGTGTGGTGGCCTCTCCCAGCGTATCACCGGAGTAACTGTTACCGATGCTCACAGAGGTCGCAGTCAGCACTGACTGCACGGAAACCTGCACGCCACGGAACAAAACACGGCCATCCCACAAGCACTGCTGCTTGAGTCCACTGCTGAAGCCGCGTTTTCAGCCCCTGCTCTTTAAGTCTCTCTCTTTCTCTCTGTACTTTACCAAGCTGACGTCTCTCTGCGAGACCGGTTCCTCCTGACATGTCCAGAGTCATGGGAAACAGTGCTGTCATACTGGTTTTTAAGGAACAAGTTGGCTATCCTTCATCCAGGGCAGATTCCTACATTCGTCTGGAAATCCTTAGTATGGTGATGGACTATAATCGTCAGGAGTGTGATTCAAAGGCATCAATTCTCTTCAGCCTTCCTTAATTATTGTACAGACCTCACATTCATATGAGCCAAGTGAAAATGCCATGACTTGGGACAGGTGCACCTCAGGCTTCAAAGTGACATCTTTAAACAGAGCATTTGCAGCAGATTTTATCAATGCAAATAGACCAAATCGTCAGTCATTCAAAGGCAAAGAGCTAAGAAGAAGTCATCTGAAGCGGTTTCGATCCTGATTCATAACGACCCTACGTACAACAGAACGAAATGCTGTCTGGTCCAGCACTGCCCTCACAAGTACTGTTAAGTTTGAGCCCACGGTTGCAGCCACTATGTCAATCCATCTGTCTCATTGATGATCTTGCCTCTTTTGCAATGACCTTCTATTTTACCAAGAACGATGACCTTTTCCAGGGACAGATCCCTCCTGAACACATATCCAAAGTACTTAAGAGGAAGTCTCACCATTCCCACTTCTAAGTAGTATTCTAAATGAACTTCTTCCAAAACAGATGTTTGTCCATTCTTCTGGCAGTGCTGGTACACTCTGTATTCTTTGCCAAAACCGAAATTCAAGGTCACGGAATCTTCTGTCGTCCTTAGTTACTGCCCAGCTTTCACAGGCACAGCAGGTGTCTGAAAACACCGAGCACGGCTTAGCTCTCAAGATGACGTCTTTGAGTCCTTCTCATTAAACAGGTATTTTGTGTCAGATTTGCTCAATGTGAATTCATTAAATATACTGCCAGTCTAAAATAGACTTACTGAAAGGCTAAGAAGAAATAAAGTCCAGTTTAAGTAAACGCTGAGAAAAAACAACAAATGATTAGCTATCTAACTATCGAGCTAGACAGTGATAGGTAGACAGAAATAGGTTTATACTTACCTGAAATGTACCAAAATCTAATATAAGAAGATTTGTTTGTTCATGGTAGAAGCCCGTCTGTGGAACTATTAGATACGAAGGTTTCAAATTTATCCTTAAGTCAAGAACTTTCCGAGTTTCAATTATATGGGTAAGTCCTAAAAGAAGGCAATGGAATAGTGAAAGATTAGAATGTCAAGAGGAAATGTGTTAACTAATGATGAGAATCAAAATGTAACCTAAAAACTACTATGGAGGACTCAGTTCTTCTCCCAGATGGGATTTTCACTCCAGCAGGAAGATGAGGTGCCTGTGGTCCTTCAAGGTCCTCTTTTGAGCAACAACCCTATCTTCACACAGTACAGTCAACCCAGCACAGCGGGGACTTTATCCTGAGATGGAAGAATTCACCACCTGTGATTAAGTAACCGGATAAAGAAGGAGGCCACATTACTCTAAGTATCTGTTTGTAAAACTACAGCCACACACTGCATGGCCATCAGCTTCTCAACGACTGACATGGAGAGATGTTTTCCAACTCAGACTCCCTCGGAGGCACAGGCTTACTGAAGGGAAGGGCATGCAGAATCAACCGTGCCCCAGAATAGCATTCTCTTCCTCACTCAGTCTGGCAATATATCTGACTTTAAATAATCCACGTGGACATGATAAAACAGCCCAAATCCTTGAATCAAAGAAAACAAGCAACCTGTAGTATCGTAAACACAGTTTACATTAGAAAAAACACACTTCCGCGGCCTAGTGCTGAGGAGTCTTGGTGATGAATGGTCAAAGCACTCAGCTGCTAACCAAAAGTCAGCAATGTGAGCCCACCAGTGGCTCCAGGGCAGAAAGACGTGGCCATCTGTTTCCTCAGAGATGTAAAGCCTTGGAAACCATATGGGGCTGCCCTGCGGGTCAGAATCAACCTGACAGCAACGGTGTGCTTCGGGTTTGGTGGATGCTCATGAAGAAATTCTAATTCTTTACCTGTGGCTGTTCTCTCTCTAATTTCTTCCAGCTTCATCAATGTAGCTGACGTTATTTGCTCAAGATCTAATCCTTTGTTTGATTGAAAGAATTCAACAACTGCATTAATGGTTTTCTGTAAGGAAATTTTAAAAATTTAACCAACATATGTAAAGCACGTGTTATACATTTTAAAGTTTCACCTCAACCCTAAGCCACTGCGGCTCTGCCCTGCGTCTCCTGGGGGTAAGAGAGGCCTGAAGAATAGGAACAGCCTGAGCAAGAAGAGGCAAAGGAGTGAGGGTGCACGACGCCAGCAGACCCGGAAGCTGTTCTCTGCTGCATCTGGTGGATGCAGGAATGGCCATTGCTTTCAGCTGCAGTGTTTAATTAGTCCAAAGGTGAAACTCAATTTCCTACTATAACTGGATTCCCCTGCACTTTGAATTTCACCCAGAGAATAGGAGGAAAACAGTTCAGCACCTTACCCATCTGCAAGACTTGAACTTTTTAAAAAACATCAGAAAAGACAATGAGTTCTTATGTTTTTAAACATGAACCTCTGTCCATAGTCTGAAGCCAGCTTTATATGCAAAAATAAGTCAGGTCTGGCAGGAACAGCAGGGCCCCTCCACAGGCAACCCAGTGAGAGGTGAGCCACGCCTAGCTGTTATCTAGTGTGAGATGGGAGTTAAGACAGCCTGAAGGTGAAGTCACAGAAACAAAAGCCAAGTCCCTGTGTTCATTAACATCTAAATGCTAATTTTTTTCCTCATTAAAAAAAAACTTTTAATTATTTTCATTAATGCTGAAGTACTTTTTAGACTGTGACTCTGGAAAGGAGTAGAAAGCTCATCTTTCTCCAGGAGCACCTGGTGGGTTCTGATTGTGGACCATGGGTGGTGGTGGTGGTGGTTTATTAGTTAGGAGTTGGGCGAAGATCTGAATGATCAGTAGTTCAAAACCACCAGCAGCTCCATAGGAGAAAGACTGGGCTTTCTACTCCCACTTAGGGTTACAGTCTTGGAAAACCACATGGGGTCACTATGAGTCAGCACTGACTCGATAGCAGTAAGGAAGTGTAAAGTTCTTTTAATTCAAAGTGGAAGAGAAAGAGAAAATAAACAAACTGGAAGTGAGGTAGGAAGTCAGTTTATGACTATTTGGAACCAGGACAATAAAAACTTGAATCTTTAGAGTAAAAAAGTTTTCGTTTGCTTGTTTCTTCAATTTAAAAATAGCATAGAAAATAAACTCAGAGGTAGATAAATTCTATGGCAAATGAAAACTCCAAGTAAAATGGTTAACACAAGTACTGCTTTGGAAAGAAGAAAAACATGTTTTAACCTAGCTGCTAAATAAACAAATATATGAAAGAGGAACAGTGCTGAGAGGCATGTCTGAAATGAGAGAGAGCTTCGAAAACAGGTATTTTCTTGTTGTCCTTACAGCATCATAGGTCACCTCCACAGGCTGGGACTGAACCACCAGAGTCTGGTCAGCAGGACTATGCTCTGGATTGGTCTCAAACTGGATTTGAAGCAGGGAAGAAGCAGTATCGCCAATGGAAGTCACAAGTGATGGTACAGTATTTTGCTGTTTCAGACCTGTTATATACCAGAGTTCTAATTTTGCTTCTATCCTATAACACGAGAAAAAAAAGGTATTTGTAAAGAACCTTTGACATGTAATGAATTAAAATATAAATATTCAAAACTTTAAAATACTAGAGCTATGCCCATTACTCAAGATTGCCGCCCAAATACCTCGGCCTTGGATTCAATTATCTTCTCAACTGTTTTTATTTTGCTACGCCAATTCTAAAACATGGGACAGACACATTCTGAACACAAATGCAAGTGGTACCTTACAACCCTGACACACCTTCCTACCACACTGATTTTTCCTAATCCCTGAACAATGGCTCTTCCTAGTCCCTCAATAGCTACCTAAATAAGCCTCAATTCTCCTAGCCCAAATTTTGTCTTCCATAACTGAGCTTATGCAGCACTAACTAGATTTAATTTGCAGCACTTCTCATCTATGGGCTATCTAGTATGCTGCATTAGTGTGACTCTGACGATTAGGAGTCATCACATAGACTTCAACTCCGAGTACTCCACATGACAAGTAGAACTGCACGGAGGCTTTTCTAGACTCTAACACACTGTCAGCTCTTTCTCCTGTGACCCACTGAAGTGTCTTCAAACTGAACCTTTTGCTTAGCAGCCATGGTGTGATGACTGTTTTTTCTCAGATGTTCTACAGTTCTTGAATTAACACTTTGAACAGTTACGTCCATTAACTATGGTATAAACCTCCTGAAGGCAGAAGTCTAGCACTTTGTGGGAAAGTGGAATTGAAAGAAAGAATTTGGTCATGAACTTTTTAATGGCCCTTTGTGTGTGTGTCAATTTCAGAGTTATTGAGTCTAAAGATGAACCACATCCAATAAAAATCTGTGAAGCAGTGAAGAAAGGGAGCAAAGAGACGATGAGTTGATCCTTTATCCGTGTTACCCTTCCAAAACAAAACTCTACCTGGTAGACAGATACACAGACGCTGGCCTAAACCATGACTGAAATAGCAGGCTTTCAAATACTTACTTCAGTGCTTGTGCTCCCGGTCGCTGAGAGACTTGCGTTCCTAAACCAATTATCTGGATTTTTAGTATTTCTGGAATGTTTTCTTTTTCTCTTATTGTAATAGACGTACTTATTAACTTTAGTGTCATTATATGGGCGACATACTAAACAGAAACAAAGTGAAAAACTGTTAGCGACAAATAATTAATACTGCCTTAAATAACAATTTCTTCTTTCTTAAATTGGTTGCACTATAAAGTGATCTATCAAATAAGCTAAGTTTTAGTGTGAATATATTAACATCAATAAAGAAGAAATTTTTATACACAATTGTAGGTACAATATGGCATTTACATAGATTCAAATTAATTTCTCTTAAGTTTGAAAATGAGTAGCAATGAAACAGTGACAAAATAGTTAAGAGGTATAAAGACTACATTTCGGTTGCATAAAAGCATAATGAATACTTCAGATCAATTCTCTGGCTGAGGAGATAAAATCTGGGGAAAACAGAAAGACCATCTGCTTAATGATCCAGGGGCTTTATTAAGACACCGGGGGAACATATTCCTGACGCGGACACTGCCGGATGAGGAGTGAAGTCGGGCCAGAGACCAGGAAGAAGACCGTGGTATCTGTGGATCTGCTTTTCCTAGAGGCAGTAAACTTGGCTACACTGGAATAGAAATTTGAGAATGGGTTCCATCAAGGGTAATGCAAGAAAAGCTCCCCTCTTTTTAGAGGGATCCCAAAGGGCTACACCCAAGATGTAAAGGTAGAGTGGTAATAGGCAGACTCTCGCCTTGTGTATCTTAACTTTACAATATCAACAACCCTTGAAGAGAAGATCAAGCTATGCCCAAATACTTGTGACATGAACAACTCAAAAAAGCAAATAAAATATCCTCTAAAAAGTAAAATAACTACCACATCAGAGGAAAAATATTATTTTCCATATTCTTAAAAATTAAAGATTAGTGTTGGTAAAAGTAATGTCCACTCATGCAGACACACGCATGGCGATATACATACAAATGACGTTGATAAGCTACCAAGATAAGTTAAAACAAAAACCAAAATAAAAAATAGATGAAGTATACAGCTTTCCTCTAGTTCTTTACTGATTCCTCCCCCCACTATCATGATCCCAATTCTACCTTACAAATCTGGATAGACCAGAGGATGTACACGGGTACAGATAAGAGCTGGAAACACAGGGAATTCTTGACAGATAAACCCCTCAGGACCAATAATGAGAGTAGCAATATCAGGAAGGGAAGGGGAAGGTGGAGTAGAAAGGGGAAACCAATCAGAATGATCGACATATAACGCCTCCCCTGGGGTCACAGAGAACAGAAGAGTGCATGAAGGGAGATATCAGACAGTGTAAGAAATGACAAAATAGTAATAATTTATAAATTATCAAGGCTTCGGGAGGGAGGATGGTGAAGGGAGGGGGGAAAACTGAGGAGCTAATACCAAGGGCTCAAGTAGAAAGCAAATATTTTGAGAATGACGATGGCAACAAATGCGCTTGACACAATGGATGGATGTATGGATTGTGATAAGAGTTGTATGAGCTCCCAATAAAATGATTAAAAAAGAAAAAAGAAACAAATTCACAAGGATACCAGGCCTAATTTTATTAGACACACATTTTGAAACAAGGTTCAAATAGATAAAAGATAAAAATTAGTATATTGGAAACGATAACAAAAGAACCAAACAGAAATTCTCGAACAAAAAAAATCCAAAAAAAAACTAAGAACACAATACATAGACTTAACAATAAAACAAAAACTATTAAAAAGAGACGACAACCTGAAACACAGATAGATCATAGAAAATACCCAAATGAAGAATAATAGGTAAAGGACTTTGAAATACAGAACAGACAATAAAAGACACATGAGATATGGGGGGTTGGGAGGGGTAGGATTCAACTGTGTACATTAGACTTCATCCCCATCTGACCAAAAAAGGAAAAAAGAATAAGACAGGGATAAAACTGAAGTAATAATGGCAGATAATTTTTCCCAAACTGATGACATATCCAAGAAACAAAAGCAAATCCACATCTTAGAATATTAAAGTAAAGTTATTGACAACCTAAAAGAGCAAAATCTCAAAAAAACAAGTAACAAACAGAAATGTGTGGAAATTACCTGCAAAGAAATATGATAAAACTGATACTTGAATACAAAAAAATGATAATATAGGCCAAACAACAACGAATACTTTCAAGTATCTGGGCCTATAATTAACCACCTAGGATTCACTATATGGAAAATAAAATGTGTCTTAAGAAAGAAGATAGCAATTTTCTTTCTTTTTATCACAAAAGCAAAAATTGAAAATTTATAATAAGCAGCCAATAATCAATGAAAAAACTAAGGGAGCATGCTTCTGGTAGAAAGAAAATTATGATGGTCAGAAATGCAGAAAAGGAATCAAGTGACTGGAACATTTAATAGTGTTAAAACTACTGTTCTCCCCAAAATAATTTACAGATAAATATGACCTATACCAAAATTCCAAAAAAACATTTTTGAAAATATTAATGACTCTAAAAGATTATGCAAATGTAAAGATCTGAAATAACCCAGACACTGTTTAAAAAAGAAGGCCAAACGGTGACTCCAAGACACTCACAAAGCTGCAATCATCAAGCTGGGGTGCTGAAGTAAGAATGCACAATTCAATGCAACACACAGAAAATCAAGAAAGGCACCCAAACATTTATTTATTTTCAACCAAAGGGCCTCTGGTAAGAAACGATTATTTTTTTAAAACAAGACTCAGGAAAAAAGCGGCAGTCATAAGGAAGAAATAAATAAATGAAAGGCCATTAAGAATAAAAATTTTAATTTGTGACATAAGACCAAAAATTGATAATTAAATAAACTCTTTTTAATTAGTTACTTAAAAATCAACAACTTGCATATACCAATTCAAGCTAACACTGTAAAATGAAACAAAGTAAGTACCTGCTTGGGCAAGGTTAGGTTGTGAGTGCTCTCACTGTAACCAATTGCAGTGAAGAGCTTGGCTTTCTCCTCTGGGGTCATCAGGTCATCAAAAGCTATTAAAAAAAGACTAAATATTCTCAGAACTCAATTGCTTCAGTTTAAAAGATTCAATCTGAAACTCAAACCAATTTAGTGGGTATGATAGCTGCAAATGCTAAAGAACAACTACTGTAGTTATACACGACTTCGATTACATCACACAAACTCTATTTGCTTGCTTAGGTCAAAAAACAAGTAAAGAAACCTCATATAAGGATTTTAGAATCCCTAAGCATTTAAAACATGTAAGTGTCAGGCAGAAGCGGGAGTTAGCAGGGCAGGCGGGCTGGGAGATGGAACTGGCAAACACATTATAAGGACACTACAAGAGGCCAGACCCTGTTCCCCCACTCCTCCTCTCTTTAGGTGGCCTTCAGGCCCAGATGCAGAAGACTAACCATTACAGTTAGCTTTGAACGCTGTTGCTTATCCCTGGACCTGTAGATAACAAAAAAGTTACAGTGGAAAATTCCCCAGCTACTCCCTCACCCCAGACTCAGGCTATAAAACTCTCTATCTCTCACGTAGACAGTGTGACTTTGCAGGGGCCCCAACTGGGGAGCCATGAACCTCACCCAGGAGCTCAGGCTGCTCCCGTCCCTTTCTCTGCTCTCCCTTCCCACCCGGGAGCTTGGAAATAAACCTCTGAAACTATTTTCTACCTTTGCTTGCTTTCTTTCTTTCCTTCGCCAAATCAACCTAACATTTGGTGCCGAAACCCAAAAGGAGTAAGAGGTGTCTTGGCACAGTCCTGCCTGCCCTTGGATGAGTGCGCCACCCCTCTCTCCTCCATCCCCCTCTTCCATCCCACCAGGACCTCTCAGCTGCCATCCGCCACATCTATGAGTGAGTACCTGACAGTACCTAACTAAATTTTCTTTCTATTTCAGCCCACTGTCCCTTGCTACTGAGTTCTTTAAAGACTCTGTTCATTCATTTCTGAATTGTGGGCCCACAGCAGAGCTGGAGCCAAAGGACAACACTTGGGGATGCCTGAGTCTCACTGTTCCTTTTCCAGGGGAGCTAGGAAGCCAGGCTTCTCCCTACCCCCATTCCAAAGGTCAGAGGCATTCGGGGATGCCTGAGTCTCTCTGCTCCTTTTCTGAGGGAGCTGAGAAGCCAGGCTTTCCCCTCCCCCCATTCCAGAGGCACAGTTGGATACTCGGGATGCTGATTGTCTAGCTCAGTCTCTTCCAAGAACCCTGCAGCATGGGAAACAAAAATTCCAAGCCAGACTCCTCCACACCTGCGGGTTGCCTCCTGGCTAATATTTCAACCCTTAGCTTAACACCAGACCTCTGGCCCAAAGGCCTTGTTTTTAATGGCAATTTGGTTTGGCCCCAATATAAACTAGATAATGGGTCTCAATGGCCAGAAGATGGTACTTTCAATTTTAACTAATCTCAGAAACTTTTGGCAGCAAACTGGCAAATGGTCTGAGGTCCCCTACGTCCAAGTTTTCTTCCTTCTACACTCCCGTCTCTCTCTCTGTACTCTGTCACCCCGTTCAAGTTCTTTTAACCCAATACTCTTCTAACCAGAAACACTTGCCAGCTCAAACAGACACACCACTACCCAATCAGGTCTCCGACAGTACTATCACCTCATCTTTCTCCAAACCCCGACTCCTTCTCTGTGCCCCCAGTAAGGCCTCCTCCATATTCTGGGTGCCCTTCACCACCACCTCCACTAGTTCCTTAACTCCCATCCACCCCTCCGCCAATCCCCCGACTCCAGGCCCTAAGCTCTCTCCTTTGTCTTCCCCTGTAAGTCATCATACCCATTCACACCAACCCCTCCTCCACCCCCTACAGGAAGTTGCAGGCACCGAAGGTCTCGTCCACATCCATGTTCCCTTCTCTCTCACTGACCTGTCCTAAATTGAAAACTGCTTCGATTCCTTTCCAATGATCCCACCAGCTACATCAAAGAGTTTTGCTATTTGTCTCAAGCCTGTGATTTATCATGGCATGATATTTTTGTAGTCCTTTCATCCAATCTCACCTCAGATGAAAGAGAGCGTGTTTTCACTGCTGCCAAGCAGCATGCAGACCAGGTTCATCTCACTGACCCCAACATGTCTTTGGGTACCAAGGCAGTCCCAAAGAAGGAACCAGGCTGGAGTTACCAAACTGATACCCAGGTAGGCCAAGATGGCGGGGCCGGAGATAAAATGCCCCAGTGTGTCTTGGCTGGCCTCCAGGCCATTTCTCACAAAGCAGTTAATTTTGATAAGCTCAGGGAAATTACTCAGAGGTTGGATAAAAATCCAGGAGCATTTTTAAATCACCTGACTTAAGCCCTTACCCAATGCACCCACCTAGATAGACCCAACCTCACCAGCAGGGGCCACTGTCCTTGCCCCGCATTTCATTACTCAATCATCTTCAGAATCTAGAAAAAAGTTTTTAAAAGGCTGAAGACAGCCCTCAGACTCTTCTCCAGGATCTAGCAAATATGGTCTTTAAAGTCTTTAATACCAGAGAGGAGCAGTCAGAGGCAGACAGGGAGTCCCGAAATCACCAGAAGGCAAACTTACAGGCCCAGGCCTTGATGGCAGCCCTGAGGCCCTCAGCAACGGGGAAGACGTCGGCATCCTGCTCAGGCTCAGGAAACAACAGTTTCAGACCACCCCCAGGAGTCTGCTTCAAGTGTGGTCAGCAAGGTCACTGGGCCAAGCGCTGCCCAAACCTCATCCACCCAACAAGCCTTGTCTGGCATATGGTCAACGGGGCCACTGAAGAGTGACTGTCCTTCGGTGCCCAGCCGTGGAAAGCCAGTCCTTCCAAGCCCTAACCCACCATTGACACTACTGGGCCTAGCTGCTGAGGACTGAGGGAGCCAGGACTCGGCGACCCCAATTGCCCTCGCCAAGCCTGGGGTGGCAATCAAGGTAGTGGGTAAGGTTTGGTTCTTTCTGGTTGACACAGGGGCTACCTTCTCAGTTTTTCCTTCCTTTTCTCGTTCTTTACACCCCTCCCAGGTCTCTGTCATGGGAGTCGACAGCCATCCCTCTCACCCGTTGTCCATGGAGCCCCTTAAATGTAGGAAATATGAAGGGCATTAAACTGTAGACTCCCCGGTAACACAGGGAAACAACAGAACAGACACAGTTGCCCATAGAGGAAGTAAATCAGACTCAGCCACAAAGAATCTGTTACTTCACAGATCACAATGTAGATGTCTTTTCTCTGCACAGAATTTGCAGACATAATGTAACTGTTAATACTAAAATTTTCTCCTATCCTGGACAATTTTTTTGGTGCAATGGAACTTTAACTAAATGTGTAAATTCCTCCACAGCAGGACCTTGTTTTCCAGTTACCGTAGTTCCCAGTTTACCCTGCATGGTCAGTCTGAGTTAGCATGCTTACTCTCTGTCCAAAGATCAAAGAGAGCAATATTCCTTCCTATAATGGTAAGTGTAAGCCTAGCCTCTTCAATCGCAGCATCTAGAATGGCTGGATGCGCACTCTGCCACTCCATCCTCTCAGCACAGGATTTTGAAGACCGTCTGCAGACTGATTTGGAATCTACCTCAGCCTCTTTGGCCTCGTTACAGCGCCAGATCACGTCTCTGGCCCAAGTTGCCCTACAAGACAGATGGGTCTTGGATCTTCTAATTGATGAAAAAGGGGGTACCTGCCTCTTCCTTGGCCACTGGACACCCACCCCTCCCTCTTTTGACTGCTCCAGTCTCTAAACCTACATCGGCCCCTACCAGCAGGAAGCAAATAGCATACGACACCCCTTATCACCAAAACGCTGGAATGTCGGGCCAAAGTGGGAGTTAGCAGGGCAGACAGGCTAGGAGATAATGCTGGTAAAAACACTCCAAGGACACTACAAGCGGCCGATCCCCTTTCCCCCCCTCCCCTTTGGTGGCCTTCAGGCCCAGATGCAGAGGACTAACCGTTACAGATAACTTTGAACACGCTCTTGCATAGCTCCAGACTTGCAGACAAGAAAGTTACAGTGGAAAATTCCCAGCTACTCCCTCCTCCCAGACCCGGGCTATAAAACTCTCCACCTCTCCCCTGGACAGTGTGACTTCACGGGGCCCCAAGTAGAGGCCCATGAACATCACCTGGGAGCTCAGGATGCTACCATCCCTTTCCATGCTCTCCCTTCCTCCCCAGAGCTCTGAAACTGTTTTATACCTTTGTTTTCTTTCTTCCCTTCACCAAACAAACCTCACAGTAAGTACACGTGTAATTAAATATTCACATAACAGATGACACTCCTTATGCTAAAAACTGAGACATAATTTTTTTTTTAAATCCAAGGTTTCTTTCAGTTAGATAAATACAGAAATATTCCTAAATAATGTGTTTCATGAAGAAATAGTTAAAGTTGCTGACTTCATACTTCATTTAGGTACCACCCTTAATTATATAATACATATAAATTATACTTCAAATATTATAAAATCCAATTACCTCAACAAAATATAATACATATGTTTTTTTCTTGTGTACATTAAATAATGAATGAAACTTGGAACTTACTTTCAGGAATCAAAGAGTCTTCTTCATCCTTTTTCTTAGATTCCTTCTTACCCCAAAACCCACTAAACCAGCCTCCACGTTTCTCGCCTGTATCAGTAGATTTTTTCCTTAATTTTTGTCCAGATCGAATCACCTAAAAAGTATTTTAAATTTTTAATTAAAAATAAATTGAAAAATAAATAAATATATGGCTTCTTCATATTTAAGTGGAGTAAGGGAAGGAAAAATACGTTTTGTCACAATAATATCAGTCTAAAAATAGTTGAGAAAAGTCAATTCCTTCTTAGATAGAGAGCCTCCTGGTTTGGTTAATTCAGTCCCAATCGTAACTTACTTCCAACAACTGAACCCTACTGATGCCATTAGGATAAGCCCATATTTTCAGTAGCAAAACACTCAAGGTTTCAAGTGAAATTTTTCTAAGCGATGTGTATTCCAAAATTTTAAGTTTAGATGACATGAGAACTTAAGGACTATAAAACAGTAAGTTCCCAGAGAAGAAAATGCTTCCATAACCTACAGAAAGCATCAGTTTTAAAATCCTATTTCAGAAGTCACATATCGTACTGGTTTGCTAACTTTAGACATGGATGGGAAGTGGGGAGAGACATATAAATAAAAACACACAGTGCTTAGCTTGATTTTCCACCACCCTTTCTCCTTGCCCATTTTTCAGTCAAATTTGGATGACAAAAATTACAAATGGAAAAAAGATATACACAGCAAATAAAGAGGTAATTTAGACTCTATTTTCCAATTCTCTGAATAAATAAAATTTTTAAGTGTTAGATTTATTTTATTTGCCTTATTAAAAATTATTTTTAGTATTTCAAATTTAATTGGTTGTGAACCAATTAAAGTTAAGTTTAAGCCTGGAGACCTCTGTGTATAACACAAAATACATAATAATCTAAAACCGATTTTCAACAGGACAGTTTAACATACAGCTAAATAAGCTCTAACAATTAGATATTAAGTAAATAAAAAGGAACAGGTTTACATTTGCGCACAAAGCTACTGGATCTCAGATTTCGTCATTTTACCAAGCTTCACAAATGCTCCCTTTTCAGGCATCAGAAATATACTAACTGGATAAAAAAATAAATAATATCTTATTAGTTTTTACTACACATGAAACAACATAACTTGTTTATTCCCTTAGTATTGTAAGATTAGTGTACTTTTTTATTTTTCCTAAGAAAGACGAGGCTTTAGCCAAAATCAAGATTCCAGAAATTGATAGAATCCCAAGGTGCTGAGAGAAGCAGTCACTTGTCTATGCCATAAATTTTGGACAGAACTAATTGTCCAATTAACTGAAAGAGATCCACATTTGTTCTCATTTCAAACAACGGTGACTCAAAAGGATGCTCAAATTATAAAACAAAATAATTAATATCATATACAAGAAATGTTTGCTGACGCTCATCCAACAACAGTTGCATGCAGTAAGTTGCTCCCAGAAGTTCAGGCTGGTTTCAAGAGGATGTGGAACAAGGGATTATCATGCTGATGTCAGACAGATCTTGACTTAAAGCATAAAATACCAGAAATATGTTTACTTGTGCTTCACTGACTATGCCAAGGCATTCAACTGTGTGGATCATAACAAACCATGGATGACCTTCAGAATAATGGGAACTCCAGAACATTTCAGTGTGCTAATAAGGAATTTACACAGAGATCAAGAGGCAACTTTGCAAATGGAAAAGGAAATACTACAGGGTTTAAAATCAGGAAAAGTGTTGGACATGGCTTTATCATCTCACTATACTTATTTAATCCGTATGTGGAGTAACAATGAGAGAAGCGGACTTGCATGAAGAAAAATGTGGCATCAGGATCGGAGGAAGGCTTACTTACAACCTACAATATGCAGATGGAACAACCTTGCTTCCTAAAAGTAAGAAGGATTTGACACATATGTTGATGAAAATTAAGGATTGCATCAAGGGCTATGTAACAAAGAGGAATTCCTGAAACCCAAATGAAGGCTGAACATGATAGTGGGACAAGAGGAAAATAAAAGGAAATAGAGGAAAGAACTAGGAGGCAAAGGGCATTTCTAGAGGTCTTAAAATAAGCATGTACATATGTAAATATATTTATATACTTTGATTGGGGAATGTATCTATGTATATATATTTATAGGTTTAATATTAGGATAGCAGATGGATATTGGGTCTCTACTCAAGTACTCCCTTAACACAAGAACACTTTGTTCTATTAACCTGGCATTCCATGATGGTCACCTCCCTGACACCATCACTGAAGAAAAAAATGGGTGCATAAACAAATGTGGTGAAGGAAGCTGATGGTGCCCGACTATCAAAAGATATAGCATCAGGGTCCTAAAGGTTTGAAGTTAAACAAGCGGCCATGTAGCTGAAAAGCAACAAAGTCCACTTGGAAGAAGCACACCAGCCTGTATGATCATGAGGTGTTAATAGGATCAGGTATCAGGCATCAAAGACCCAAAACAAAAAAATCAAATCAGTGTGAATGAGGGGGAGTGTGGAATGGAGACCCAAAGCCCATCTGTAGGTAATTGGACATCCCTTTACAAAAGGATTGTGGGGAGCAGACGAGCCAGTCAGGGTGCAGTAATGCACTGATGAAACATACAACTTTCCTCTAGTTCTTTAATGCTTCCTCACCCCAACGATCATGACCCCAATTCTACCTTACAAATATGGCTAGGCCAGAGCATGTACACGGGTAGAGATAAGAACTGGAAACACAGGGAATTCAGGACAGATAAACCCCTCAGGACCAATGTTGAGAATGGCCCTACCAGGAGGGTAAGGGAAATGTGGGGGGAGAAAGGGGAAACCCAACACAATGATCTACATGTAACCTTCTCCCAGGGGGATGGACAACAGAAAAGTGAGTGAAGGGAGACATCGGTCAGTGTAAGACATGATAAAATAATAATAATAATTTATAAATTATCAAGGGTTCATGAGGGAGGGGTAAAATGCAGAACTCATACCAAGGGCTCAAGTAAAGAGAAAATGTTTTGAAAATGATTATGGCAACAAAGTAAAAATGTGTTTGACGCAAAGGATGTATATATGGATTGTGACAAGAGTTGTTTGAGCCCCCAATAAAATGATTAAAAAATAAAATAAAATTAAGGATTGCAGCCTTCAGTATGAATTACAACTCAATGTAAAGAAGACCAAGATGCTCACAACTGGACCAATGGGATAAACGGAGAAAAGACTGAAGTTTTCAATGAGTTCATCTTGCTTGGACCCATAGGCAGTGCTCATGGATGTCGCAGTCAGCATCACCAGAAGACACTGAGCCCACAGATGTTGTGAGGAGACAAGGACCTTCCCTCAAGTCACCACTATGAACTCGCACTTCTGGCCTCTCAAGCTGTGAGAGAACAAATTTCTATTTGAGAAAGCTGTCGACCTGTGGGACTTCTGCTGTCGCAGAACTAGCGGACTAGAAGGGCAGAGTCCAGAAGGGTGAGGAAGAAGGAGGAATGGACGCAGGAAACACGGAGGGGACTGCAATGAGTAAGATGTGTATACTGTGATACACATATCATTGAATCCAAGAAAAAGAGAGGAAAGAGATGGAAGTCAAAATAATATTTGAAGAAAATGACTCAAACTGGGCAATTCTAGTGGGCAGTTAGTTCTCAGTATGCTTCAGCTCAGTTAGCCAATCAGGCATATTTGCCACAAATGATCACTCCCTCTCTTTGACATTACTTCTGCACCTGGCCTTGAAAGTGATGCACTCATACAGACGACCAAGCAAAAGTAGGACAACCACTGTTTGGTCAGTTTTGCTGGTGCCTTCTCATCTATAAAGAGTGGAATGCTTTAGGTCTTTGGACTCTTGCTGTCTAGCTATTTATTCTCCTTAGGTCACCTCAGTCAATATCAAAGTTTTAAATGCAACCTATATGTTGATACATCCTAAATCTGTACGTTCACCACAGACATATTTACTGAACTCCACATTCATATACCCACTTGCCTGATCCACATCTCCTTTGAATAGCGAAAATGGAATGTGTCTCAAATTATACTCCTGACTATTTCGCATTCCACCGCGCTTGCTCCATCTACTCTTCACTATCTCATTGGATGGCACATCTATCACCCAACTGCTTAGGCTGAAATCTTTAAATTCATCTGATTTGCATTACAATCTACATCTAATCATCAGAAAATATTGGGTCTAAAATCTAACACTTTATAATCACATCACGGCAATCAGCCTCAGTCAAGCTTCCAACACTCACCTCAATTACTACAATAGCATCTTATCTGGTCTATTTTCACCCTGGTTCATTGCTCTGAAAACTGTTTTCAAAATAGCAGGCACAGAGAATTTTAAAACTAAAAAAAAAACAATTAAAAAAAATTTTGCTTCTAATCCACCTGTACTCAAAATCTGTTCATCACATAACCTGGCACCTCTGTCAATTTTATCAAGTCCCCTCCCGTCCCTCTACTATCTTGTTCCATTAACCGTCACTGCACCACTTCTCTCACCACTCCCCTTAGCTCCCAGGAGGAGCCACCTATCTCCCACCCAAAGCTTTTAAACGTGCTATTTCTTCTGCCTACTACATTCTTCCCTTGGATATCATCCTAGCTAACTCCATCACCGTCTTCAGGTCTTTGTTAACATGTTATCTTCCTAGTAAAACTTCCCTGATCACCACCCTACTAAACATTTCAATCTTCATTATCATCACCAACTAGCCCCAATAATCTCCCTATTCCTTCCTACTTTACTCTTGTTTGTACGTTTGTTCATGACCCTTCTCTCCTGCTAAAGTATTTTTCTCTGTTTAGCTCATTCACGTGTTCTCAGTGTAAACAATGATAATGATAGGGAAGATGAGGAAGGAGGGAGTTGAGGAGAAAGGAAAACAGAAATCAATTATTTAGTAATTACTGGTGAGGTAGTCTAAGAGCTTTACATAGTTTATCATTTATTCCTCACAGCATCCCGATGAAGTCGGTACTATTAATTAATCTCATTTTATAAATGATTAAACTATTTAAATAGCCAACCCATGGCCACCTAATTAACAGGAGATTAGATCCAGACGATCTGACCCTCGAGTCCACACAATTAAACATAATGCTAGCAAATAGGCACCAAGGAGTACCTGCTACATTAATAAATGCATACATATGTTTTATCCATTTAAAAACATGCATATGTGTATGAAACTCTGTGGCTAAGAAAGGACTAAAGGCTAGACAGCAATTTAGTATTGGTAGTTATGTCAGTATGTATGATTAGGGCTGTTTCTATTTTCTTCTTTTGCTGATCTATATTTTCCAATTCTCCTATAAGATGCATTACGCTTGTGATACACTTTTTTCAACTATCCAAAACATGTTAACAAAATAACAGAAGGGACTTGGAGCAAAATGTACAAAGTACCAAGTGAGATAAAATAAGCAGTTATGAAGTATTCTAAACAGATGGATTCCAGTTTTGAAAAGAGGGGAGAAGAGGGAGGGGGAGGGAAGAAAGCAAATGAAGAGAGGGCATTTTAAAAAGAAAGGAAAGCATATAAACATGCACATATGCTTGGGGGGGAAGCTATCCTTAAATCTTAACAATTGCTTTTGGAGTTGCTAGAATTACCAAGGACTCTCATTGACTTTCTTTAACGGGGATTTCCTGTTTGTTTTAATCCCCCTCACATTAGTGGCTTTGGGCCAAAATTCCATTTTGTTTTCTCTGAATTAAGCAATAAATATGGAACCTCTATTCTCACTTGAGAAAATCTCAGCAATCCCCCAAGTTATGACACTTGAATTCTTGATCTGTAGTATTGGCATTTGAAATATAAAATCAGCTGTCAAAAATATTACCTCAACTTGTGTTTGTTGCCTTGCTAAAATTATGTTAAAAACATCAAGGGTCTTCTCCAAGTCCTATAAAACAGAGAGACAATTTTAAACAAAGAAAATAACAATGGAATGGAAAACAGCTTTTCTTCTAGGCTCTTTCTATTTATCTAGTCCATTAATAGTGCTCGTGATATAACGGAAATATAAATTTAAACATTAACTTTGAAGTTTTCCAGTTTTTAAAATAAGGGAAAATAATAAATGTTCAAGGACATAAACTCTCTTTAAGTACAATGCATGAATGGGGATCTTTCCACAAGACGATGATCTCTCACGTGATACACACATATGCACACTTTGAAAAGGAGACTTGTTGTAGGTACTATCCTTATAGTTACCACTTTAGACCCTCCCTCTTCTAAGTATTGCACAACATGTATCATTAAAGGAACCACTATAAATATCACAGGATTTAAGCATGCACATTTTTGCAAATCATAAGAAGGCTAAAGTAAACAAACTGATCGAAGGAATTCACATGAGAGTGGGTGTTGCTGCTAGGTGTCATGGAGTCGATTTCCACTCATCTGAGAAGCGAACAGCCACTGTGGCCTATGTGACAGGGGCTTTCAGTGGGACCTCCCCTGAACTTCCCATTTCTGTGAGAAAGATGTCATTTCCATTTAGGAATGACACCACCACAATGAGGTTAAGAAACTCGGGCATGAGCACCTGGCAAGTAGCCAACTCAGCACCAGCACGCAACTGCACCTAATTCCAATACCTTCCGGTTTTCTATGCACTGCCACGTATTTCAGAACACAGAGATGCAGCTCATTCTTCACATCATGAAGCAACCACAGAAATAGCTCCAAAACCAAGGTCAAGCGACATTAATCAAAGTATGTATTTAATATGCTTTTATGTTTTATGGATTCTCTTAGCTAATAAAAGAGCAAGGCCATTTTTTATAAGTAAGACTTTGAACACTTTTAAAGAGTCCTTTATAAATGTGGGGCTTTTACTAACAAAGTAAATTGGGATGCATAAACCTAGTAATAAGTTTTTAATAATGAATTTCTAAGCAGTATTGCAAAAACTAGACATATTCCCCAAATTAGCTTATGATAACATCATCTTATCTGTTAGGGTGGGAACATTTTCCAATAAGAACATTTTCCAGTAAGATTCTCTCTCAAAAGCACGGTGAGTTCTGTGCTTGTTTTCTAAAATTTCATTCTGATTCAAATTAAATGCCGAGAAATCTCCACCAATATAAATATCTTGTTAAGATTCATACCAAAGGATGATTAGACAAATAAACAGCTTTCAAAGACATACCTGAATTTGTTTCTGCGTTTCCTCTGAAACTTTACTCTGAGTTAGTTTGTTTTTGTAGACGTTTTTATAATTCTTGAGCAACTGCCTATGCTTTTTTATGTGACTCCAAGACCACATCTGGGTATACCTTCTTATATGAACCTCAAGAACAGAATCAATTGCATATTTCCACCTATAAATAAAATTTTGTTAGAGAATATTTGAATATAAAGGTCCAAGACAAGGCCGAAAATAACTTTGACTCTAGATCTACACCATCAAATTTCCTGTTCTTATTGACTGTAATCTATCCTAACTCAGTAACAGGATTTCAATTTCCCAGTACAACTCTCTGGCTTAAATAGGCATGACCATTCTTAAAATAGAGTATGCTACGAGAAGATCCTAAAGACACAAAATTGGAGGAATTAACAAGACAGTTAGCTGATTCCATTGATTCCCATATGGGTGGCTGGTGAGCACTGTAAACTTTTAAAAAGAAAGTCTTCAATGTTAAGTATTTGAAATTAATCTAGAAACAGGAATACAGGAGGTAGTGATTTTTTAAAGTGACATGAGCATATAAAAAAGAACCCTACCTTCTCTGTTAAAAAAAACAAACAAACTGGCTGGATGGCACAGTCCTAAATATCTCTTAACTCTGAGAATTCCTAGATATAAGAATATGTTTCTCATATACCACCACCACCCAAAAATAAATTCTAACTTACCATTGTCGACAATTTTTATGAAGTGGTAAATAAGGCTTATATTTCCTGTAAGGGGCATTTCTAACCATATAATCCACTGACTCCAAAAAGTCCATCATACTGAGGTACTATCAAAATAAAACAAAATACTGAGTACATTGCACACATGAAAAATACAAAATTTAAGGATTTTTAATCTAGAGAGGCTTCAATCAATAACAAACATCACTGCTGCCTGGTAACCAACAGTAAATTGTATTTCACCAAATGTAAAGGACCATTAATTATCAATGACAGTGTTATTTTTAAGTTGCACTACAAAAGTAAAAGGTACTGCCAATTCAACTGTGTTACATCACCAGTAATAATATATGCTCTTTTTCAGATATGCTGAACGAGTGGTTCTCAACCTTCCTAATGCCACAACCCTTTCATACAGTTCCTCATGTTGTGGTGACCTCCCAACCATAAAATTATTTTCGTTGCTACTTCATAACTATAATTTTGCTACTGTTCTGAATCGGGCGACCCCAAAAGGGCAATGACCCACAGCTTGAGAACCGCTGTGCTTAACCATGAAATAAATGTGCCTCTCAAACACAACGAAATACAGCCTCTAACTACTGACATAATTGAGCCTTGGTGCATGCATAGTTTTGAACTCCTAACCACAAGATTAGTCTTTCAAATCCACCAGCCACTCTCACTTTCTGCTCCCATTAAAACTTCATACACCTGTACACCCCACAGAGGCCCGTTATGAGTCTGATGGACTCCATTAATGTTTTAACTGTTGACCGGAAATATATCTGTTTCTAAAGCTACTTATTATTCCTCTAGATCACTGTTACAGCATGAGCTGATTTAACATTGCTCTAGAAAACTATTGCATAATTAAAACACAATAAAGTTACTTAAACACTTATCTCTGTGGATCTGATAAAACAGGGGGAAACAATCACACAGCTAACAAGACTACCAAAGTCACTCACTGCCACTGACTGGATACTGACTCACAGTGACCTATAGGTCAGAGCAGAATCACACCTGTGGCATTCCTCTTTACGGAAGTAGAAAGCCTCATCTTTCTCCCACAGAGCAGATGGTGGTTTCAAACTGCTGACCTTGTGGTTAGTTGCCAAAGCATAACCTATTATGCCACCAGATCTCCTGGACAAAACTATAGGTGAGCGAAAGAGGCAAGTTTAGCTTTTCCTCTTCTCAATTTTTCTTACTGTAATTCTACCTAAGGTTTACCACATGACTATTAAGTACTTGAAATGTGACTAATCTGAATTTAAATGTAGTATAGTATAAGTAGAAAAGAAATCAGATATCAAGGACATATTTCTGTTTAAAAATAAGATATAAAATATCCAATTAACAATTGTTATATTCATTACATGTCAAAACACATTTCAGGTTTATTAGGTAAAAAAGTTAATTTTCCTTTTTTGTAAAATAAAATGAATTTTACTTTTTCTTCAAACTTATCTAATGTAGTGATCAGAAAAATGTTACAATATATATATGTTATGCATCATACTTTTTTATAGGACAGTTCTAGGCTAGAAGCACTAATGCCTTCCCCCTCCTCCAAGCCTACTACCTAATCTCTCTAGGCATAGAATTAAACCTGGGAAATAAATGGTGAGCAAAACTATCCATATAGCTGTTCTAACTATTAAGGAAATTTTTTAAAATCTAATAGTTTTTTTTAAATATATGAACATTTATTGTATTGAATAACATTCAAGCTACCAAAATAAGACAAGTGTGATGGGTAACTAAAGTTACCAGTTATTACTGACATGATGAAAATGATTGAAGAAAAGGTATTCTTTCAGTAAATGTGTGCCCATGTGGGCACTGGACCCTGTGCACGACTTCTGAGAATAATGCAGTAAAATAATGCATAAAAAGTCTAAAATAGCTCCATTAATTTCATTAGAAACATGATTAAGTTCCCATCAGCTAATGAAAAAGAAAGGTATATGCTGCTAAAACTAAATGGTCCAGCAGCTAGCGTATAATTTTTTCTTAATAAATCACTTTATTGGGGGCATCTACAGCTCTTATAACAATCCATTAATTTCATTAGACACATGATTAAGTTCCCATCAGCTAATGAAAAAGAAAGGTATATGCTGCTAAAACTAAATGGTCCAGCAGCTAGCATATAATTTTTTCTTAATAAATCACTTTATTGGGGGCACCTGCAGCTCTTATAGCAATCCATATATCAATTGTATCAAGCACCTTTGTACATATGTTGCCTTCAAAATTTTCAATATTTTCTTTCTGTTTGGATCCTTGGTATCAGCTCCTCTTTTTTACCCTCCCTCTATCCCCCTCCCACACTCAAGGACCCCAGAAAAATTATAACCGATTATTATTTTTATGCCTTACACCACCCACTGCCTCCCTGCATCCACGTTACCTGGTGCTCGACCCCTGGGGAAGGGGTGAGGGTTATGCGTCACTGTGTTGGTTCCCATTTCTAACTCTAATAGTTTTATGAGCATGAAATTCAC